AATTTGAACGCAAACGTTATTTTTCTTCAATATCTACTGAAAATGATAGTTCTTCTTTTTTCACAAAAGTGTACATCAGAGGTTAACAAAGCGCATGAGAACGAATTACGTGAAGAAAAATACTTTTTTTCACTTCTCAGCAAAAGAGCTCGTTAAATTTAGTAAAAACAGTAACGATACCGGACCTACATAGGTCCCCTAAATTTACATGGTATTTTTCCCGTAAAAAAAGTTTTATGCAACACCCGCAATTTCTGTTGCATAAACGACACTTAAGTGAACACTTACGAAAATCGTAAGTGCAACCACTTAAGTGAATTCCCTAAGTGGACCACTTAAGTGATTTCATGCAACTGACTTAAGTTACGAGTGCACGTACGTGTACCCGTAGTTGTTACGGACGTTTTATGGAACCGGGCCCTGGAGTCCCAAAAAAGCCATCTGGCGGAGGCCGTCAATCGCCCGAACTTGACATTCGCAGTATCGCCAAAATATTTATCCAATGAAACTTAATTCCTATAAATATGGCTATCAAGTTTAGCCTGTGAACAGGCTCTCTGTTTAAAGGAAAAAAAATAGTAAGGAAAGGGAAAGGAAAGGGGGGCAGAGAGCCTGTAGACAAACATTTGAGGCCGCTATTCCGCCCTCTTGTAATTGTCTTGCCGAACATCTGTCAGTAAGATCGTTATCTGTCAATTAATTTCGCGCGTGAGTAACTCTTGCGAAAATTAACGGGAAATGAGCCGTGTTTTGCTCCGTCTCAAAACAAAGTGAAATGGCCCGCCAGCCAGCCTGCGAACCGCAGACGCATTTCCGGTCGTCGCTTCTCTCCCTCCCAAAAATAGCGTCTGCGAACCCGAGCGGAGAGAAGCGACGACCGGAAATGCGTCTGCGGTTCGCAGGCTACCCGCCAGCCTAATTGTCGATTTTCGCTTTTCCCTCTCCCTAGTTCCCCGCTCGACCAAAGGCCTGTTCACAGGCTGAAATGCACGCGATAAATGACAACGATAAATAATAAATTAGCTAATTTAGCTAGATATTGCTACCTTGAGTTTTTTTGAGTTTCTCTACCGCTCTACTGACACTGGGCTTTAATTAGGCCGTGTTTTCAATAAAAACGGTTTGGAAGTTTTAGGATTCTTCCAAAAGAAGTTGTTCAAGTTTGAGTTGAAATGCTCGATGAGAAGAGTCAACAAGGCTTTCACATTTACCTGGCTCACGTAATCTCAATGTACAGCTTCTATTTCACGTTGAATTCGTTTTAAAGCCTCCAGGGTCATTCTTGTTCCCGAAATAGTCTTGGAGGATGGAACACCGTGAGGGCCTTCTACAGACGTTCTGCCACCGTTTTAAAATATTTTCTGTTTTATTTTAAAGAAAAGGATTTCCGTATGGACTGCTGCTAGCGGAAAATATAAGAAGTGCTCGCTGCTCGCTGCGTGCAAAGCAAATTTTTTATCTCTGCTCGTGCTCCCAAAAGATTCGCAGCGCTCGCATGCTCGCGAATGCTCGCAAAGACCATTCGTCACAACTACGTCTCTGGAATTTGAATTCCGCCACCAATAATTCCCAGCTCTCTCCCCGTCGACTGGGCTGTCAGATTTCCGCCAATCAGAGCGAGGCGGACGCAAGCGCTAATGTAAACAAACATTGACGCGACACGTGCCAAGGGTAATGACGTCATTACTAATGTCATCTTCGCTAATCATCATTTCACATCGACTTTTTCCACGCAGATATTCAAATTCTAGACATGTAGTTGAAAGCGCTTCTTCCTCTTCCCGCCGCGCCGCCAGAGCGCCCCGGAGAGCTTGCTCGCACGCTAATCGTTTACAAGCACATGCACCCTGGACGAGGGTCTCCAGTCAGGAGGTGTTTGGGGATCTGCGATGAATTCCCTTATTTGAAGGCGACATTTAAGCAAGTTAGGGGAGAGAATCGGGATTGAAAGTATGCGCGGGAGACGAGATGCCAAAAATATTGATAACAACCCACAAATTCAATATTTTCCAATTTTCCAAAATTTTAAACACCCCCAGTATTTTTAAAAACATTGGACGGAAAAGTCATTCAAAAATTCTGAAAAAAAATTATTGAACCAAGGACACCAGTCGAAATGAGTGATTTTTTTTGGATGGAACGAAATCTTGGCTGGATATTTTGAGAAAGAGAGCGGAAACAAACGAAATTGCTTTAAACCAACTGCCTCCTTAATATATGCACATCAGTGAAACTTAATGTAATTACCCACGAGACAGACAAAGTTAGTGCTGTCCTAAAAAGGATAATATTCATCATAAATGTGAGGTAAATCATGCTTCGGTGAAGATGAGAAATGGCAGTTTGCGTAGCCTGTGTAGCAGACCGTTTTTTTGGTTTGTTTTTAAATTAAGACCCAGCCATGCGAGAGCTGTACCGAGGCATCACTCGTTCAGTATCATTTGAACTCGTTTCAGCTTTCGCCCGGCTGTGTCTCTTACTTTACAAATCCCAAAAGAAAAACAATCCAAAAACTGCCGGCTTCGTAGGTTAAAGTGTGCGTGGAAAGCATGAAGTTCATCGAAAAGCACGCCAAAACAACCGCAGAGTAATCAGTAATAGGTACCGACAATCTCTAGATGAAAAAGAAAACTGGCACGGTAACGATTTCCTTAGTCCACACATGTCTTCGCTCATATCTTCTTTTCGATGCAGCGACCTCAAAATATGGCAGTGAAAAACTGCAATTAATGCTTTGGCGCAGCTAGTAATTCTCTTCAGGAGGTACGCACAGTTTCAAATGAACCCTATCCCCCCTGACTCTGCAAGTCAATTTGAAAAAATGTCTGAAGGCAGTTACGACAAAGTTGCACCGGTATAATAGCTATTACCTAGGCTATGATATCACTATACCCGACAGTTTTCGTGCCGAAACGAAAAGTTATCCAGTATCACCCGATATGTAGTTCTCCACCGGCTTTAGAGATCTGCGCGGCGCAGCTTCTCTCCGTTACACTCGCACTGAAATCACCCTTGAAATCACCCAGCTAGGTACGCCTCAGGGGCAACTTGCCACAACGGACACCTAGAGATAGTTCCCGCTTTTCTTTACTTCTTTTCACCGATCCCTCTCTAAGGCGGACATATGATGATGGTGCCTTTCCTTTCGTTTTTTCAGTCATTTTCTCGGCTGTAACTTAAAACTCATTATAAGACGGACAGTATGGCGCGATTCCGACAATGCTCATTTTCCTTTTGACTCTCACAGTAGACCCAGAGCACGCGTGCGGCACGCAAAGCCTCAATCTTTCTACCCCAATCTCCCCTCCTTTCTAAAATAAATTTGCATAATTTCACTTTTTCGCTCGCCGCGCGTGGTTTAGAAGAAGGAAGGACGACCCCGCTCGCGGTCTAGACGGTGTCCGTTTTACAGATTCAGTCATAATGAAAGAAAAACATTGCGGCTAAGTTCCAATTCGTCCACAGAACGCTTAATCGTGACTCTTTTCGAAGCGCATGCTTACATGTGGAATGTGTGACGACAAATAAAAACACTCGCAAAGATAACCATTCAGTGATCCTCAGTTCGCTGCCTTTGTCCCATCGCTTCATGCTCAGTCTTAGTCGAGTAATTCATTAACTTTTATTTCATGATACCTAGATCCTAGCGGCTGTAAAATCATAAAAATGGACGTATAGTAAAAAGAAAAACGGTCGAAGGACGGGCTTCTGAGTTCGACTTCATCCAACTTCATTTTTTTCACGGTGGCATACGAGACTCACGGAAATATCACACTTTTCGCGGGAAGCAAGCCGTTCTACTTATAAACCTACTCGGGAAAGCCACTCAAGATTTAATGGAGATGGAGGCTCCATTTGATGGGCTCCTGTGCGACTCCAATATCATTCACCTAGCATAGGCACTCGAAATATTATTTACAGTATTATAAATCTTACAAAAACTCACGCTCACATTAAGCTCTTGGAAGATAAGAATTCAAATAATGACTGAACCTAACACATCCCATATTTCATATACGACGCAATGCTGTCTAAAGCGTTAGAAGTGAACGTTTCACTTAGGCAGAATTATGTCTTTAGTCCGGTGGTCATAATTATAGAAAGTCAAATGACTACGATTAAGTTTGTCGGTAAAAACACCTTGATCTGGCATACGTTTTTGACAAGTTTTATATAAACGTACCTCAATTTTTTTCAATTTTTGAGCGTTTTTATTTTTCCTAACAGCTTCTTAATTCGCTTTTTGATTGTATAAAACAAAGTGGCCTACCTCTGGGCCAGTGAATATAAATGTTTTTTTTTTCTATGATGCAATTACGCACAGCAGTTTAAACGCAAAGATAAGGTTAATGCAGGATATGTTTCCCCATATGCTCAGGAAGAGCTCTAAATTATAGCAATTATAGAAATTGACACACAAAACGGGCCAAATGTCCAGTCCCCAAAATGTTCGACCAAAATTAGCTGGTGAGCAGGTTCTCCGTTTTGGTAGACGGCGAGGGAAAAGTGGATGAAAGGAAGCCCTCGCTCGACTAGCTTCCTTCACCGATAGGAATCTGGTAGCCCATCACGCGTTTCCTTCGCCCCATATAAGGTTACCCGGATTCTGGAATTCGTGGAATTTTTGCTTGTGGACCGGAATCCTGGCTTTTGGAATCCGGAATTCAGCTCAAGTAATTGATAATCCAAGTTCTACTGACAAGGAATCCAAAATCCAGTACCTGGAATCCGGAATCCACAGCTTGGAACCCAGAATTTAAGACTGTCTTGGATTAGCTTGCATGGGGTTGATTTCTATTTACTAAACGTTGGCCGGCCATTTAGAATTGTCATTCTTGCTCCATTTACATTTTCCGCTCCTGTGCTAATGAGTATAAAGTGTTAAATTCAGCCATCTGGTCGCAAAGAGGCAACCGCAGTTTGTTTAACAAATATAATTCATTAAACATTTCATGACTGATGTTTTATGGTCAACTAAACTGCCTAAACGGCGACTGACGCGATGGATTTTCTGTCAGGTTAATCTTTCTCTGACAACGACACAGTTCTGGTAAGTACTAACAGTATACTATGAAATTAAATAGTATGTTACAGATAAAAATTAAAAAAAACCTCGTTTATTTGTGCATTCAGGGCTGGAGACACCAAGGGCAAACTAACAGGAATTTAATTTTGAACACTGAAACCCCGCGAGGGCAACTGTTTGGAGAAGCAAATGTTGTCTAGGGTTTTCTGTGGCTTGAGGAGGGCTAAAAATTTCCGAATGGCCTTTCCATTCCTGTTAAATTCCCTGCGATTTTCTCAAGTTTAGTTTCACTCCCCAGGTTAGGCTATTTTCAACGTTTTACGAAAGTGAATATTTTTTTATTCCTCTCTCCATCACATTTTTGAATCCAAAAGTTTTCCTTTTTTTAAAAAAAAAAAGTAAAATTTTTGGATTCAAAAATGTGATAGAGAGAGGAATAAAAAAAATTCACTTTCGTAAAACGTTAGATTGCACCTAAAATTTTCGGGAAGTAAATACTGAAGCCATATTGTAATTTCGAAAACTGGCTTAAGTTCCCCAAGATGACCGATCAGATAGCACTATGGGGAGCCTAAAAGTGTTTTCAGTGTATTTAGGAGGAAAGTCAAAAAAACTAACTTGTGACAAGCCAAAACAAATTTAAAACATACACATTAATTTTCTTTCTTAACTCGCCGGGTCGAAGGGTAGATAACAAGCAAGCATCTGATAATGTTGATTTCTATTCTAGTTTATTTGATTTTTTTCATCCATAACTTTCTTTTTCGCTAGCAAATTGCCCAAAATTCCTACGACGACTTCGCATCTCCAGAAGGCTCGGAAAACTCCCGCTCTCTAGTTTTTTTCACTAACTCGCATAACGAACTTATCAGTCGTGTCTTCGTGGCGAAGTGGCGGTTTTGCATCACCCGAGTAGCGCAGCTGATGAAGTACCCATCTGCTAAGCTAGTGGACGCTGGTTTGAACCTGTCCGGTAGAGCACTAACTGACTAAGATCTTTCCCGATCTTTCCCGTTTTAACTGCAGCAGAACTAGGTCAGTCGGTAGATGGTCCATTATTGCAGTCAGAGTCACTGAGAAATGAAGGTATTCCCTTTCCCGTGCAAACGGCCAGACCTTCGTGTGGCTCGATTGTCTGCGTAACACGGCGTCAAGTTAGTGTTCTCAATTAGCATTTTCGTGCTATGTATATGAACATTCAACTAAAGTGCCTTTTTTAATAGTAGGAGGAGGTGTAAGAGCCCTCGCCAGTGTTTGTCGAAAAAAGGGGGAAATTATTAAACTTTCAAAAAGTGAGCCCAATTTCGATTAGGATGGGACCGAGTGTTCCGCCTAAATGTCAACTCTCAAATTTCGATTTGAAGGAGCAAAATCCATCAAACCCTGTGAATTTTTTCTTGAATCTGTCAGACAAATTTCGTTAGAGATAATATATGTTAGTCACCGAGAAAATATTTGCCAAACAGCTCGTAAACAAAATTCCCTGGAGTTGCTTTAGGCATAAATAATCAGGATGAGAAGAATCGATCGCTTGATACTCGCTCATGATGCAAGTAATCTCCATGTCTTCGTTTTATTTGGAATGAATGAATTTATGAATTTTGCATTTCCTAGCTGGGATAATTGTTAGTAGCAGCCTTTCTGACTCGCTTTAACTCGCTTTATCATTGGCCACTATTAACAAGTTTTGAAATTTTACTTGGTAAAAACTGACAGGTTGAATTACACTGTTCTCTGCATAAATTTAAGAAAGCAGTTGTTTCTCATACTTCAAAATCAAATGAATGCGATCGACAAACGAACGCTTGACCATGAATTATGTTTATGGTTTTAATAATGAAGGCGCAAGATATCCTACGTAAGAAATTCCAAACAAAATTTAGAACACAACCCGCATTCAACGATCTAGCTATCATGCTGAATTAAGTAAAGCCGTTTCGTGTTTTGCGAATTTAGATATCGAAACTTATCAAAACATTTTAAGAAGCAAGTTTCCTAAAAATAGAAGCAAGATCGAGATCCGTCTTGTCGTTTACTTAACTCCGACATGACTTCCTTGTACAACAGGTGACTGCTGCAAAGTTGGGACCCCGGAACAACTCCACTGGTTGACGGCATTGGACTCTTCCATTTAACTTGACGAACATTCTCTACATAATCAGGTGGTGTACTTGTGGTTTTCTTGATATCTCTTAGGGAGTTTTCCATTTGTCAGAACTGACCGGCCAGCCCGTTCCCATCGTCATGAGAATTTCATTTTTAACCAAAACTAACCATCCAGATCTGTCAAATCCTAAATATTATGCACAAAGGGGATGGTTTTTCAGCAAAACCTCTTGGAAAAAGCTTATTTCATTGCCAAAATGTCTGGTCTGACCATGGTCCGGCCGGCCAGTTCTGACTTTTGGAAAGCGCCCTTAGTCCCTGCAAAAATATTCTACTTGAGATGTTTGGTTTTGAAACTTTCCTTTCAATACCAGAGATCTGTGGATTAAACGATAAAAGGCGCAAACTTTGTTTTCTTTTAAAAGAGAGGATAAAACATTACATATTATGTTGAAATGATGATGCCGTGAGATTCACCGATCAGTTGGGGAAACATACTTTCACGACAAACGTCACTCTTAGGTTAAAGATTTCTCAAACTAGGAGAATGGTGGACAAAAACTGACCAAACAATCCTATTTCGTATAACAGGCGTAAAAAAGAATTTTTGTTTGTTGTAGATATAAAAAAACAGTTCACAGCGAGTTAAAGGAAATCGTCAGTGGTCGCGTGACGAGCATCGTAAAGGTGATTCACATGACGTCACGGCGGCCATATTGGTGTTCTAGAACACTGGAACGGCGGCTATGTTTGTGTTCCAAACCAATATTGTGGGAGTTGAACTCTTTTCTTATGTAAACGCTTTCTTTTGTTGCAATTAATTTGCATAGCAGCTGGGCACGTGAGTGAAAACTGCTCTATTTACAACTGGTCTGCAAGAATATAAACTTCTTCACCAACTGTCACTGGGTCTTACTAAAATCCTTAAATGTTCTTTTCTTTTGATTTTTTCCCACTACCTTGACTAGGATTTCATGCAATTTAATTTTGAAACTGTATTTGTAGTAGCCGCTGTTTCTAACCATATCAAAGCATAATATCCAGTTTGTAACACCAAAGTCTAAAAACAAAAAGTTGCAAGGAGACCCCCTGCAGACAAGGAAAAATTATGCTGTAGTGGCTTCATGGAAAACTCGGTTTTGCAACTGTCAATTTGAATAGCTTCGGCTGACGATTAACTAACTTTTTCCTTGCGTAGCAGTAACGATCGAAAGGCTGTACATGACTTTTGCTGCGATTTTCATATTGACCGTCACTGTGGGATGGGTACCCCGAAATTAGTGCGCACCTAAAATGCAATAACATGGCGTCACTTGTTGAAGCAAAATATCACACAGGTAATAACCATACAGGAACCCATAATCCGTAGCGAGCAACTTCCATGCACTTGTATCATGGCGTTTTCACGGACCAGTTTATTTTTAGAACGGTTTTGGCGCAAATTTTTGAATATCTGGTAAATTCCACAAACCAGTCAGCAAAACCTACAGACCTAGATATTATATTTTTTGCCTTTTAATAACATTTAGTTTTCCTTTTTGATATCTTATACTTCGAATGGGCTCATAGACTTGGTGGAGATTCTATTTTCCCAGGAAAAAGTTCCCTAAAATGCGTCCGTAAAAACGCCGTGACATAGGCCTAGTATGGATGTTGCTCGCTCCGGTTTATGGGCTCCTGCTTATTATAAAAATCCTTTGCTTCTCACCTTAGATGTGAGTCACAATGACCAATATACACTTGTTTGTCTCACTGTTGCTCGTGACAACTATATCTCATGCTGGTAAGTCATATTCCAACTCGTTATAACTCTAGTTCACCCCCCCCCCCCCCTCCCAAAAAAAAAAACGAATTTGCATAACATTGTTCAGAGCGTTTTCACGGCGGCCATGTTGGTGTTCCAAACCAATCCAGTGGTAGTTGAACGCTTTCTTTTATTCCAATAATTTTGCATTGATACTAACCATGTGAGTGAAAAGGCTTTATCATAGTCGTCCCAAGAGAAATTGAAGACAATGCCCATGTTGTATGATGGGCAAGGTGAAAATGGTGAATTCTTTGCATTCTTTATTCGATTTTGCATCTGAACTTCACATATGATCAGTATGATTTCACTCTAGAGATAAAACTGACCTGCGTTACAATATACAATGGCTTACAAATAGACTCTATCTAAGTGTTAAAAAGGCTAGAAAAAACAAAATTTACAACCAGTATTAATAAAAACTATAGCCTAGAACTAAGAAAAGGCTAGTAAAAACAAAAATTTAAAACTGTTTAGAAGAAATTAAAAATTCAAATCTAGAAAAAGTGAATAAAAAACGGATGTATGGTAGACTACCAGCTGCCGGGCAGAAAAGAGGTTTTTCAATGTGCTCTTTCTGACTATTTGGATCTGGTGTTGTTTATAAAACCGACTTGTACCCATCCCTTTTCGAATTGAAACAAGGAAATCGCAGAAATTTATCCGTTAGAGACAAAGATCACTTTATTAATTTTAATTTGTTCATTTTTCTCTAGCTTTACATTGCCCTCATGGTTGGACTGAGTTTCAACGTTCTTGCTACAAGGTGATGCCGCAAACTAAAGAGTCCAAGGTATTCGGGGGTTGGTTAAAAGCGTCACGCGCGTGTATGGGGTTTGGAGGTTATCTTGTTAGCATGAAAAGTGAAACGGAAAAGAAATTTGTTCATAATCTGTCGTCTTCGGATTTAAAAGGCCCGCAATCTGCTTGGATTGGGTTGGTTCATCGGCTTCCGAAGGGTATATACTCATGGAGCGATGGAAGTTCTTTTAATCATTCTTTATCCGTCGAGTGGTATGGAAACACAACAAGTAAGCTTAATGGCAGTGAGACCAAATGTGTGGAACTATTGAGAAATGGCTGGAACCTTACTGAATGTTGCAAGAAGACCGACTACTACATCTGTGAAAGACCGAAAGGTGAGTTGCTTCTAAATACGTAAAGAAAGTAGCCAGGCCTATATTCTTGGGTTGCGCGTGACGTCACCAAAAATCAAACTAAGAAACTATCGATTCTTCTGAGTTTCTACTTTCACTCGGTATTATAGTACCTAAACACCTTTATATAAACAAATTTTTGGTTCGAAAGGGTTCTTCGTTTTGCGAGAGAGGACGCTTGCATTTAGCTGCATTTAGCTAGCGGCCGAGAAAGCTCTCATGTGGGTTAAAAACATTACCGATTTTGGGAGATTTTGCAATCTAAACATTCCTTGTCTCAGAATAAATATTACTGTAATCTTTATGAGTTCTTCAAGCGAAGAATTCACGCATTAGTAGAAAAACTCGAAAACAGGATGTTTCTGTTGGTATCCGGCGGCCATATTGGTGTTCCTGAAAGGGACACCAACATGGCGTTTCCATACAAAGCTCTACAAATTTACGTAAACTGTTTTTCCCAATATGTCGCAATTGAAATATTTCACAGACCTGATTCTTGGCAAGGGGTTTTGTATATTTATCTTTTTTCATTTCCCAGATTCTAGTCCTTCTGTATTGAATGGTTTGCATTTTTATTTTTCATTGCGCGACAGTGCAAGCCGAGAATACGAAGGACAAAAAAAGGATTTGACAAAGCAAAATTAATTGCTCCTTTACAATAATGAATTCGTTGATGCTTGCAAAAATCGGTAATAATGCAACTTTTGTAAAGATTTTTGACTAAACAAATTTCGCGCTCATATGCTTTTGCAATGCTCGCTAAATATTTCATTTGTTATTCAGCCAATGCGAAGTACTGTTCTACCGTGCTGGACAAAAAGGTTTCAACATGTTCGCTTAGAGCCTGAGCTATTGCTCTGGTTGCCTGAATTTCAGCCGTCTTCTCGAGTTGCAAACTCCCGAAAGAGATCCTTCTCCCTGTCTCGTACCCTGCTGCCTCTCTCTTCCTCAGAGGCTCCAATAGAAAGCGCGCGGGGGACGATGGGATGGTTGAGCTCTCTCTTTTTCTTTCTCCCCAGCCTCAAGGCCTCCGCGGAGGAAAAAGAGCCCTGCTGCCGAGGGAGACTTGAGAAAACGGCTGAAATTCATGAAGGCTCTGAAGCCAGTTGTTCAAAAATTAACTAACGCTATCCTACGGATAATTCTCTATCCGATGGATAGTGTGACTGGTTGAGTTATCGACTACATAGTTACAGATTTTATTAGGAATAGGATGATAAGATCTATGAGAAAGATGTTTTTTCATTCGTAACAAAGGCGGCTCGAAAGAAAAAAAATCTGAGTACTCCAAAATGCAGTAGAGCCTATGAGCTTCTGGTTGCTAGTAAAGATGCTCTACCACTGAGCTACAAGATACTCGTAAGTGCTAAGGCCACTAAACTAGGGTCATGTGACAAACCAGGGGCACTCAACGAATGTTTTCTGCAAAATATCTCCTTGGGAGAAGCAAATATTGCCTAAAGTTTTCTGTTACTTGGGGACGGCTAAAAAATTTCTAGATGAACGTTCCATTCATGAACAATTTTCGAAGCTTATCCAATGAATTCCCTAAGATTTTCTGACGTTAAATTTTTCACATTTCACTCCCCAGGCTAGGCTATTTTTCGTAGATAAAAAACCTACAATTTCGGATGCAAAATGTGATGGGGAGAGTAATCAGAAAAATTAAAACTTTAAAATTTTCAGGAAAATAATATACTGAAGCCCTTGTAATTTGGAAAGATTCACGTTCCCCTGGGATGATCGAAAAGATAAAAATTTTTATAGCGCCGCTTAGAATGCACTTATAAAGGTCTAAAAGTGCTTTGGATAGCCAAAAAGTCTTGTCAATGTATTTAGGAGCTAAGGAAACCGTCGTTGGGTGCCCCTGACAAACATCCTGCATACTTCAAGGACTATAATCTCGGTATGTGCTTATACGCAATGATGGATATGTGACGGTGAATTTTAAGCCTGGTGAATACATGAGAAAGATATTTTTCAGTCACTAGGGGACACAGGCATGAAAATTAAACGACATTCATTTGAAACCGTTATATTTTATTTGTCCTATCCATTAGGTCCACTGAGTTGCCCGCTTCATCATGATGAAGGACATCTGAATGGATTATCTTGCTACTATAAGCACAGCATTTCAAAAACACGGGAAGAAGCAAAAAAGAACTGCACTGCTTCTGGAAGCAATTTGGTGAAAATAAATGGTACTGTAAACAAAACTGACACGGGATTCCTGACCCGCCTATTGGACACTATCAATTTCAAAGAGGTAACTGAATTAAGTAAAAGTGACAAAAAAACAGGTAGCACTATGAAATAAATATGGATATAAAAAAATATAGTATTTGTCAATTACTGAATAAAGCTGAATATGATAACAACAGTTATGCAGATCGAGGAGGGCTATGACCCTGATTGAATTGGTTGGTTTTTTCCTATATTTCGCAAATATGGTAGGCCTCTGCTGATTATGAGAAAATACACGGAAAATTGATCAGCCAATCAGAAATGATGAAATAGTTCGTAGAGGTACTAAATACCTCTAAATCTTTACCTGTTAGCATACCCTACTGAGAACCTATACATGCAGAGGGTAGAGGGACGCCTTATGACATGTTACAATCAATCACAGACTAACTAGTCTAACTAGCATGAATGTGGACTCAACCGCTGTTCAGTGATAGAAACAGGTCCTAGACAAGCTTCACATGATGTTCTAGGACTGCTAATCGCTGTTATCAGGCCCTATTTTTTCAAAAGGTGCTTAGTGCTTAGTTATTCACCTTTTAAAAATTAGAGCCAGGGGACGATGAAACGTCGGTGGCTCATGGGAAAGAAACGGAAAGAACTATCGTTAGTACATCATCATCATCATCATCATCATCATCATCATTACTGATATCATTCGTTATTTGCTGTTTTGCTTTTTTATTTTAAAGGACATTTGGATCGACCCTGAAGGAACCAACCCTAAACCGTGTTTCATAATCCCAAAGACAGATGATGGAAAGAAAAAGGGTGACTGTGGCCAAAATCATGCTTATCTTTGTGAAAAGCCCGTCCCAGGTGTGATTTCATTATGGTGGCACACTTCCATTTGAACGCTACGAAGTAGCTTTAATTTAAAACAAATGAGGAAAGCAAGGTCTTCTTATCATTATTTTTATATAAAATTTCATCTCGGCCTTTTACGCCGGTCAAAAACAGCACAAAACCAACGGTATCTCAGACCCTGCTCGCATAAAAAGAAGAAAAAACGTTTCTGTTGCCTATGTTTCTTATTATGAAAATTCCTTTTCAAACAATCAGTAACATTGGTATCTGAGGGTACTTGCTAAAATGGCCTATATGGGGAGGTTCCGCCAGAAAGAGGTGCCTTTTTCAGGCTTCAGGTATATTAAAGGGTAGGGGTTACTCTAGTTAAAGTACATAAAAGGTTTGGGAAATCTGTCATTGCGGTCCCAGGCGCATTTTATGGCTGTGAAAAACACAAGAAAACTGTCTGGTTTAGCGACTTGTTCATAGTTTAAAGGCGCTACATTTACAGCACTTAAAAAAGATGCAGCTTTCTAAATTGGTATGTAAAAGGGGTGCCATTTGTCAATTAAAGGTATGCGAAAGGGGTCCGTTTTTTTGTCAAAATTTGGTAAAAGGGTAAAGGGTTGCACCTCGGGGCGGAGCCTCCCCCTATGAAATTTTGTTGGGTACTTTCCCCTCTCCTCCCCAGGCCTTGGTAATGTGTTAACGTCTTTAGTCCAGAATTAAAAAACGTTGCTTTTTCCTTTAGGGAAAGTTTGTCATTGTCAGAGCCCAGGGAAAATGTCATCTGTTCCCACTGAAGTCAATTGCTCATTTCCAGACAGTCTCTGTTTTAAGTACAGTAATAAGAGCGTGAAAGATGGGCAATTCACCGCACAAGGGTGTATATCAGCTGAACTATGCAGAAAACTTGACAATCAAAAAGGCTTGGAATGTTGCCATGGTGATTTGTGTAATACAGGTGAGGCGGGTAAAGCTCAAAATCCATGCTCTTAAAAAATTACAGTTTGGATGCAGTGCTCAGTACATAAAACCCTATTCACTTTGACTTCGCGTTCCGTTGTTCTGGAACCGACTGGCAACAATAATGTTCATATAATAAAGTTCAAAGCGCACTCTGGTTGGTTGATAAAGCGTGCTCGATGAGAGCCTAAAACCCGGAGCTATAGCTGTCACGTCCTGCCAATATATTTTGTTTTACGTCTCGTGTTCACCCTACACATCTTTTGTGCTCTTTCCGCTTTCTGAGTGCTTTACAACAGAGCAAAGCACAATCAAAGCTTCTTTATTTGTTAAGTACAGTGATGGAAGATTTTAAATTCTTTTTGGCAAATCAGCACACTGTATCAATCAAATATAAAAATGTCTAGGATTAGAGAAGTTTAGAGACGTGATGACGTGATATGACATATAGGTTACGTCATCCCTCTGATTAATGGCCGAATCATCATCTTGATGACTTCCATCACGTTTAGAAAAGTTTGAAAGCAGGACTAAACTGAATTAAAATCAACAGATAGATACCAAAATGATTGAAAGTTTTTAAATTGACCAGCAAGGAAATATTACACTGATTTTCACTATATAGTTATCAGTATTTATTTATTTTATCATATTTATCAGTGACATGCGACATATAAAAAAGTTCTTAAAACGAAAATAAAAAGTCCCTGAATGTTATCCTTTCTTAAAGGGAAATAGCATGTATTTATCAGTAAAAGTTGCTAGGGTTAGGGAAAGTTCATTTAATATGACAAGGGGGGGGGGATGAAGATATTGAAACTCGAAGCTTGAAATTTTAGCAGCCCCCCTCGCTAGCGGTTCAATTTTTTAGGAGCCCCCTCCTTGGTAGTCGAAAAAAATTTCAGAGCCCCCCTCCTCCTTCAATTCCTTTGCTCCCCTGAAAAAAGATCGCTAGACTGTATTAAATATATTTACTGTTATTGTCTTCAATGGTTTATACTATGACAAACTTGAGATACAGTTGTGATACAATTTTCTAAAGCATTTCTGGGATGAACAAGAGTGTAATAATTACTGAGACTACATTTGTTATATCTGTAAACCACGTGATATAGCTGAGTTGCACAGGTCATTATTCCTTTTGTTGAAAACCATCCGATCTGTATGATGATGTCATGTGTTGGTTTTGAAGTATACAAATTTTCAGAGCCCCCCCTCCTAGCGCAACAATTTTTTCAGAGCCCCCCCTTCGGGTGTCTAAAAATTTTCGGAGCCCCCCCTCAATATCTTCATCCCCCCCCCCTTGTCATATTAAATGAACTTTCCCTTAGTGATTTCGCGCAAATTTCTACGTCTGATCGTTTCGAAATTGTTGTTTTTCTCCGTTTCAGCAATATCCTGCCATCGATGTGAAAACAGTTCATCTCTTGATGAATGCCAAGAAAACCAAGACGACGTAGATTGCCCCATACCTGTTCACTACTGCGCAAAAATTAAGTATGAATTGACAACAGAGGGCAAAATACAAACGACTTATCGCAAGGGATGTGTCACCAAAGATCAGTGTACTGCTAATGCAACCAGTGGAAACATTGTAGATTGCTGCAAAGGCGACAAGTGTAATACAAGTAAGAAGAAATTATTTTTTATCTTACGAAATAGCATACTTTTCAATCTCATTCCCAGGGACGTCTCGTTTTCAAAATGGCGGCAGCATATTAGAAAACGAGAAGACCCTTGAACGAGGTTTGATTCTTGTTTAAAAAGAGGCAGCCTAGCCGTAAGTAGTGAAGTAAGGATGTTTAAGACTTCATTTTTGCGGGAGAAATCTCATTAAGTTGCGGGGGAATACATTTACGCCAATAACAGCTTAGAATGTTGTCTGTATATCATGAGTTAAATGCTTGGTAGTGTCATTAAGACAACATGAATATCTTAGGGTGTATTAACTGGTTTGACAGGTTTTAGATTATTCTTAGGTCAAAGAATGCCTTGATTTTTGATTGGGTAACTAAAACCTAAGAAAAGTATTCATTGGTTTATTCATGTTGTCGAAGGAGTAAGCGCTACCTGGCCTGTGACTTAATAAAGACCTTCTGAGTATTGCTCACGCGTGAACCAGCGTCATTTTGGCGGGAAAACGTGATAGCTGTTGTCATTCTACTACGACTTTTAGCAAGAATGTTGTAGTGGCGGGAAAAAGTAATCAAATGTAAGAAGTTTTATCATTTTGCCGTCGGGAGACTGCTTAACCTCCTTCAGTATATTAAATAACCGTACTAACTTTTTTAGTGAAAAAAAGACGCCCCAGAAAGCTTCAGTTTGATTTTTTCATTTTGACGCACAAAAACTTTAAGTTAAATCTCGTACTCTTTCTAGTCCTCAAATCTAAAGCTCTCGAAGATCACTGAGTCGTAACGTAATTATACAAGTTCATTTCCTGTCGCTTTCATTGTCCATTGAGGAAAACGAATAGTTCCAGCTCTGGTTCACCGATTCTTGTCACGAAAATAGAGCAGATTATTGAAGGCGAAGGTAAACTAGCTCTTTCTACCCCGAAAGGCATTTTTTCTTAATTATTAGAATGTAGAATGTAGTGGTAGCGGTGACGGTGGTGGTGGAGGGAAAACAATGGAAATGTGGTGAAGGAGGTTGTGGGAAAAGAAAAAATTGAGGAGGCGCGAAATAAATGAATTGTAGAGAAGCAGGAAGTGGGGGGAGAAGACTTGGGATGGAATCCTTTGGGACCATTCAGACTAGATGATTGATCTAAGTAACTCTTAATGACTAATCAGCGGAACCAATGAATCCACTTTGGACAAGGATTCATCGGTTACTTTGATGCAATATGATCGGAGTGATCTCGGGTCACCGATCCTGATCCGGAACATCCCGAAAGAACGCAACCTTATACGGTTACCTTCCTTGCAATTCTGGCACTAGGCTGAGGTGAAAACAAAAACAACTCGCCGAAAAATCCACTTTTTCTTCATCTCAGTTAGACAGTGACCCTTTATAAAAAAAATGTATTTCGTCGCTATTTTAGACTCAGGTCCGCAGTGCTACGAATGTACAGATCCTGAAAACTTTGAAGAATGCGCAGTTGGTCGGTGCCTTTTTAACTATGGAAAGTGTTATTACTCTGCAAAGCAACAAGATCCCTTTATTTACAAAAAATATGGATGCATTCAACCACAATATTGCGATCAAATCGTGGATGGAAACGAAATACACTGCTGTGAAGGAAGTTTATGCAATAAAGGTTTGTAAAAGAGAAATACTATATTTTTTAGTATGCCAAAGACGTGTTTTAAAAAAATAATTTGCGTTTAACATTCGCCGCTTTAGAATCGAGAAGGGAACTGGGCCGAGTTAATTTTCGCAAAGACTTCTGGGACTGTTACTAGAAACAGTGACAGCAAAAATCCCAGAAGGCTTTGCTAAAGTTATCTCGGCCCAGTCTCCTCGTTTCTAAAGTGGTGAATTGCACTATTGCTAAGGTGTTCTTACAATGGATTAGATAACGATATGTATAACGGACAAAAGGCTTGCTGACTCCTGGGGAGGGGGGGGGGAGTATTCACGAAAGTTTTGTACAGGGAGGCTCCTCCCCAAGGTCCAACGCCTTACCCTTTAATATGCCATTTTCGTATAATTTACATTGACAAATGGTAGTACCCCTTTCACATACCTAGTTTACAACTTACTTAAAATTACAGAGTCGTATCAAACAAATATGTCTCCAAGCATAATATCAAATGTTACAAAAAACAAAAATGAACTTTGACGAACTGTTAGCGGCTTACAGTTGTAAAGCCGTTTCAGTCTTATTCAAGTTTGCCCATCTGTTTCTCCTTTTGTATTTGCTGTGTTATCCATATTGACAATTTTTCATGTCTTTTCCGATGTTTTGAGCGGTTTATTTTATAGTTTACTCAGTTTGGTGATGGTTCCCACTGTTTGAATTTTGATTAATTTAGTGACACAGCTCCTTTAACTATTCCTTTGTGATCAGATATTTCAATCTTTTCTTTTCTATTTCATTGCAAAATTCGGATCAATCTGGGTTTCTGGGAAACTGCCCACCTACCCTTTCCCTAAGCCACATCACTTACCTCTCACTTAGGGCAAAATGTTGACTTAGGGGAGGGGTAGGTGGGCAGTCTCCCAAAAACCTAAATTGATCTCAAAATTCCACAGTTATCAAACCAAGGAATATCACGGTGATTTACATATCTGTTGGTGCTGCCCTCGCTGTGCTGCTGTTGGGTGCTGCTATTTTCATCTGGTGCTACCGGAGAAAACGAAAAAAGGGGGCTTATGGGTTTGTAAAGTTCTACGTGCTTACCGCCTAAAACGGGAGCTTATAACCCGGAGCGAACAACTTCCATGCGCTTGTGCGACGGCGTTTTCACGGACCAGTTTATTTTTAGAACGGTTTTGGCGCGCATTTTGGATATCTTTTAAATTTCACAAAACCAGTCAGCAAAACCTACAGACCTAAAAATGATATTTCTGCCTTTTAATACATTTAGTTATGGGCTCATAGATATGGTGGAGATTTTATTTTCGTATGAAAAAGTGTCCTAAAATGTGTCTTAAAATAAACTGGTCCTTTAAAACGCCGTGATATAGCCCTAGTATGGAAGTTGCTCGTTCCAGGTTATGGGCTCCTGATAGAACCATGTTAAAATTACGACAGCAATGTTTAGGTAATGTAGTACCGTATTGGTACTTAATTTCGAGGGTGCTTGAATTCGAGATTTTGGCGAGACAGCTCAAGTAGTTTAAGGCCTGGGTCTGAGGGGTTTACCTGTGGAAAATGAATTATTTTCTATAACTTCGGCATAGATGATGGCGCTGAATTGAAATTTGGCACACATAAAGAACTCATTGTCCTCAACATTTTAAAGTACAAATATTGTGTTAATGAGTCACGTGATACGTCACGTGACCAATTTGGTAAAAATTGTAAGTTATTGACTAATTGGTGGCCTGTTTAAGAAAAGAAATCGAGCAATAAAATTTTTCTAGTTCATATTAAATATTTCTAACACTTCACGTTTGGAATGACCGTCCATTGCACTTCAATGGAAAATTATGAGGGAAAACATCATTTCAAATGCCCAAATTTAATCTTGAATTATCCAAAACTTTAATTTTAAACTTCGCGTACATTCATTCCAAACGTAGAAAGTTAGGTATGTTTATCCTCTTTCAGAAATGCCAATTTGTTTATCCAAACAAAGTAAATTCGCCACCAATTCGCCAATTTCCTTCATTTTCAATTTCTGGTCACGTGACATGTCACGTGACCATAATTAAACGTTAAGGCACAAGAAAATCTCGATATTTACTTTTGGTTAAAAATTCATTTTGTTCTAGGTCTCCTAGCTAGGGATATTGCCAATCATTCATATTCTCAAAACACGCCTTTGAGCCAGGCCTTAAACCCTTTGAGGGTATTTTGCGAGGCTTTATTTTCGCGATTTCAATAGACAACTATGAAAAAAGGACGTTAAATTTCGCGATTTACCAGTTCTCGACTATATATAGAGGATATTACACGGTGGCGCGAAGATATGAATTTTATTTTCCAGTGGCAAAACAATATTTTACGAACAAGCGCAGAGAGTGAGTAAAATATTGTTTTTGCCACGAGAAAATAAAATTCATATCTTTAAACCGCCGTGTAATGTTCTTTTTATTATATAGACAAAAAGACATCGTTAAAATAATAGAGGGAAATTACCGAAATTACGTCATCGATAAACTCACCTGTGAGATTATGATAAATAAACCACTCGGGTCCCGGATGTAGTTTTAATGAATTTTACGAGTGGTATATTTTCCAGTAAAACACTCGTGTCTATATAATAAAAAAATAATATTTTTCAAAAAGTCTGAAGTATTAAAAATTTCTAGATAATGGATTTGTACGAATCTCAGATCAAGATGATAGTTAGGTTCCCTACTGGCATATGTGAAATCTTTACAAATTAACGTAAGGTTTTATGGAACTTACGGGTATGTGTCGATACATATCCTGCTGCATATGTTGGTGTTACTACACGTTAATAATTTTTTTTCTGGGATTTATGTTCGCTTGTTCAAATTTCGAGAGGATTTTTACTCGCGGGTCTTTAATTTCACGATTTTTCTACAATCGCGAAAAACACGAAATTTAAATCTTCTACCCAGATCTCAATCTGTCTTACGCTAAACCCTTGGCCGTGGGAAATCTGGGCACGAGATTAGCTGATTGCAAAGAGTGTGTTATTGTCTTCCTTTTTTTCTCAGATCATATCTTTCACAGCGATCGATCAATCCCCTGGACCGGTGGGAAATTCTTCGCGAGCAAATAGAATACGACGGGGAGCTGGGGCGAGGAGCGTTCGGTGTGGTTTACAAAGCAATGCTTTGGGAAAGAGTTGGGATAGAGGTGTTTAGCACAGAGATTTCAAAACGGAAACTGTTATCCAGCAAGTCGGAGCCTCGGGTAGTTGCTGTCAAGGTCTTACTTGGTGAGACTAAAAATGAAATTAATGCATGATCATACAAATAATAATAATAAATGTTTTCATTTTCTCGTTATATTACCAGCTCTAGGCAAGTGTTTCGGAATTACTACTTATGCCCTAGATGCAAGAACCGAGTTACGACATTTGTAAAGGAATAACTTTTATTTTGAAGCCAAAACTCTGGAATCGGTGCTTATTACGACGCACAACATTATTCGAGTGATTTGTTACATAGATGAAAATTTTGAAGCTGGAAATTCATTAAACCTGGCAGAATGGCGGTCGTCGGTCAACATTCGCGGGTAACAGTCCACTGTTACCCTCTGACCTCATAGATTTTGCAATATTGCGCGCTGAGAGATTTTGGCGGGAAACAGTTTCATTGCTAGACGCCACTTTCCACCATGCTTTGATCACGTGCTGTAATGTATCCCGAGCGGAGAACTATTGCTCGAATGTATCACAATCGGGATACATTTAATTTTTGTCAAGGCCACGTGACCAAGAATCAACCAAAGGCAGTCCCTGTTTAGTTGAGTGAAAGTCTAGGAATATAACAATGGACGTTGTTAACCACCTTGTTAACGTTCCATGTTGTCGCAATAATCGTAATAAAGCGTAACCACGCGCTTCTTAACAATCTCTTAGTACACATGTTTGGTACGGAAAAGGCTCATTTCATCACAAGATAAAAAATTATTGACACCTAACGTTGTGCATGACATGATCCATATGGTTGGGTTGGCCACTTTACAAACGAGAAGGAAACTGGGCCGAGTTAACTTGCGCAAAGACTGCTGGGACTGTTACGAGGAAACAGGGAAAAAATGGCCTATAGCTGATCTGCGCATGCGCATCCCCAATAACGATCTCAGAAGCCTTTGCGAAAGCTAACTCAGCCCAGTCTCCTCCTCGTTTCTAAAGTGGAAGTCGAATTTAACAGAAAAAGTACCGTGCCAATTCGTTTTGATGTGTTTAGATAATCCTAGCGCAGCACAGAAAGAAGAATTCCAGTTTGAGATCGAGCAGATGAAGCAGTTGGGTTCACATCCGAACGTTGTTTCCTTGGTTGGTTGCTGCACTCTTCAGGATGAAAAGTTCCTGGTGATAGAGTATGTTCCTTTTGGGGATCTGCTGACATGGTTACGCTGCAGAAGGAACAGGGTGAGAAAATGAAAAATTTCTACAATGAACTTTGAACTACGATTACTGAAGAAAAAAAGGGAAAGGATTCGCCTCTTTAGAAACGAGAAGGAACATTCCCGGTTTTCCCCTTTTTCGATTGCAAAAAAAGTATTTTCGCGTTGTTTCCCACTTATTTCTCCCTCTTCTCACCCTAGTACAGCACCCGCCTCCCGCCCTTTCCTCCTCCGCTCTCCGTACCCCGCCTGCCCCCTATTCTCCTGGGTTCGCCCCACACTTGTCCTCCTCAATTTTTAGCTCCAAGTTCTCATTTCAGAACACTATGGAGCTAGAAGCTTTAGCTTGGACCCATTTGTTAATAACAAGTACGTTTTGCTGTGTGAACAAAATATGACGCTATACTTAGCATTAGAGTAGCCAAAGCGAGGTTTTTTCACTTTTTGATGTTGCTGAATCTTGTAGATCTACACACGCCAAACCTCCAGGAAAATCTACGACGACAAAGTGGGTTTGAAAGATGACGGAAACGCCAAAAATCAGGTAGGGGTAAACTAAACGCTATATTCGAATGGTCTTAAAATTGCAGTCAGAAGTTTTAAACTTGTGTGTAACTAAATCACATGCTTTGATACCAATAAGTAACATGTCCAGGAGGACAATAAAACGGTTTTTGTATGCGATAAGCATAGTAGCCTGTAGAGTGTCGAGTCAGTGAGTGGCTTAGACAGACCATTGGGGCTTATCATCTTGACAGTGCCATATAAAGTCCATTTTCGCGAGCATCTATTCGTATCCTACAGTACCATCATGTAGATAATCTAAGCGTATAATAGTCACAGCTTATGACATGACATTTTCGAGTAATGCATTGGCCAGGGTACATTATCTTATTCCGATGTATCTGTTCATTATTTAAAAATTGGACTTTACGAAGCTTAGCTCTGTTAAGGTAATTATATTCTTAAATCAGGGAGAGCGAATTCGTCTGAATAGGTTGATACAATTGCATAAATTTCGACCTCAAAATGATCTCCTTACTAACAGAAATTAAAGTGACCTTAGAAGGCCTGACATCCAAGCAGTTAAAGAGCTTATCAAGTTGAGTTTCCAAGCATGTAACAAAGTTATCGTATCGTGTTGTGTTTTTCTCTTTGAGGTGCAAGATAAAGAAGAGGAGAAGCAAGTGAGTACGGAATTCACTCCGTTATTACAAGATGACAATGAGGACAAGATGGACAAGATGTTGTGTGAGAATGTAAGAACGAACGGCTTGACCATTTTATAAACTAACCTCAATTTTGCTGTCATTTCCTTGAAAGAGTAAAACTTCTCTCAGTGTTTAATTCAACAGGGGCAACCAACGAGAATATAGTTCAAAATCACTTAAACATGCCTTGTTGATCATATTTTAGTATTTAAGCGGTAGATATAGGCATATTTTTGTCCCCTAAAAACTTTCTGTTCGGATTTCCTAGGTGAAAGTCTAGTGATCCGAAAATTATAGGAATAAAAACTTACCTTTTCCAAAATTTCAGCCCGAAAAAAGGCTCCTGAAAATTCTAGGTGACCTTTTTAGGGTAAAAATCCGTTAAAAATGGGCAATTATACCATTTTTTAGATGTTCGAAAATCCTAGGAGAGGCAGGAAAGCCAGAAATTTTACAACAAATGTTCGGAAAATTCTAGATCTCAAATCGTCTTACGAACAGATATTTTCCAAAAATTGACATTGGGTGCCCCTGATTCAACTCTATAGCCCCATATAAGGGAATCCAAGACAGTCCTGGATTCTGGATTCCAAACCGTGGATTCCAGATTCCAGGCACTGGATTCCAGTAAACGATCTGTCAGTGGAACTTGAATCTGGTTTCCAATCTTAATTGGGATATCCGGATTCCTAAGCCCAGGATTTCGGATTTCTCAAGCACAATTTTCCAAGATTTCCGAGTCCATACGCTAAAAATTCCCCGGATTCCGAATTCTGGAATCCCGATTTCCTTACATGCAGCGAACTCTTCCCCTGCAGGATAAGGGATTCAAAACTATCAGCGACGAACAGCCAACAGTCCCTTCCGCAACGATGGAAAATCAGCACGCCCCCGCCCTGTTAGCCTCAACGGAAAATTTGGCCGAAGATCTCACTGATGACGAGGTGTCGTTTTCCACCGATCAAAACATCTTTTCATTTGTTCAGGAAATGGCGAAGGGAAAGGTAATAATATATATATATATATATATATTTTTGTTTGTTTTTAAATAGCTTGGTCTTTTGAGAGCTACACCTCTTTTACTGTCACTGAAACCAGTGGTGGCATCGCGGAATTACGGCTGTTTTCTCAGGCTACTTTCTAATTTGTTTATGGATTTTGATTTCACACAGGAAAGCAAGGATGCCAAGCAACAGGTGGAGCAAGAGCAGACACAAATGAACATGGAAATGACTCCATTATTACAAGATGACGGTGACGTCATTAGAGAGGAAGCCCAGATGACCTCTGAGAATCTCCACGATGTAAACTTTTTTCAATTCATTTCATTTTATCCATTAAAATATGCGAGATTACACAACATTTAGTCCTAACTTACCGTTTTAAGACGTTGCTTATTTAAAATGCGCCTAGAAAAACAAACAAATAAACAAACATCACACTGCCATTTTGTTCATATATTCCTTCTTCACATAGCACTTCTGTAGTCTCTGCATATTCTCCCCCGACGTTGTCACCTTAAAGCAAAACAAGCCACTGCATATGCAACTGTCAAAAGGCAACAGCCGCCCATTTACATGTTGTAACAATTATTCTTTGAAATCGAAGTGAATAGTTGGTAAATATTCCCAAAGCCACTATTCACCGAGATTGAAAAGAATAATTGTTTTAGTATATACACACGAAGTGATCTCAACAAAATCAGAGAGGAAACCATTAAAAAGTACAATTTGATTGATAGATCAAATCAATTAAAAATAGATCTTTGCAGAATTTTCAGACATGGGAATTCACAAGTTTATCATTTTGCAAACAACAGCGTAATGGCTTAAATGGAACCGCTAAAAGTTTGAATTGTTTCTTTACCTGAGAAGAAAAGTACAGCTATGTTGTTTTGTGTTGACTCGCCAAGTTTATAGCCAAAAGGGCTTGTTGTGTCGTTCTTCGCATGAAGTGCTGACAAAAATGGCGGCTCGGTTGCTCGAGGTAAGACGTCGTCTTCCTGTATCATTCTTTTTCCTGTTTACTTGAAACGTAGAATTTCTGCAAACATTTCCTTTTAAATTTGTTTGTCATAAATAAACTTCGATTTTTGAGCCAAAATTTTCTTGTTAGAAAACGCTGAGTTCACGAAACGGCTTCTTCTACGCTAATACACGGGAGTTGTAAACAATCCATCGAGCACAAAACTCAGCTACAGTAAATTGAAAAACGCCGTATTGAATCTTTCCAAGTCTTTTCTTGCCTTAAAAAAAGTCAGCCCTAGGATTTTGTCGACTTTTAAAAGATCGTTCTCTCAAAAAATGGGAAAAACACCGAGCTCACACATTATCCACTCGCTAGGAGGTGAACATTGTTGAATAGTCCGAGATAACGAACCAATCAGATTGCTTAAATCACCAAGATCACTGAGTGTGTATATATTAATACTTAATATTCTATTAATTATGGTAATAAACAATTATACTAGTTTCCAATTATTTTCACGTCGTTAGTTATTCAGCCGTTGTGTTGTTAACTACAAAATAATCTGATGTTTATAATAAACATTTTTCCTCAATTTCCATGTCCATTTGACCCATCTGAGACAACAAAACAGTCGTCAAAGGCACTAACTCGCAGAGTAAGATTTTCGCGCGAAGCGCTCGAGCCTCACACGGCTGAGGGGCGTCCGTTCAGACCTTTCATTCAACCGCACGCGCGCGCTTTCCTGATCTATACATTCTAGACCCTTCTTGACATGTTTTGCACTATTTGTGCATTTAGGATAAGGGATTGGAAGAGTTCACTAAAGAACAGTTGAACATGTCAAACAACCCACCCGTGGAAAGTCAGCACACAGAATCGAAGCCGCCTTTGAGTGAAAGTCTCGAGGAAGATCCACAAGACGAGGAGGAAAGCTTTTCTACTCGACAGCTCTTTAAATTTGCATGGCAGATAGCGAAGGGAATGGTAGCTACTGTATTTGTTTACATGTTATCATATTTGACTAGAGAGTTAGCCTTTAAAAATGGACGCTGATTTCAAAGGCGAACTGTATGGGGCATATATATATTGAGAAAGTAGAATTTCCCTACCGAAATCTACCTGCCCTCAAGAAAAGTACCAAGATTTCTGATAAAACCACTTTAGAGCGCAAAATAGCGAAATCTGGCTAAATGCCATAAAATGAAATCGGGTGAAAAAATTGGCAAAAGACGAGTTTTAGGAAATGAGTTTTTTCTGCAGTTTTGGTATCTTGAAAACATGTTGATCATGGACATAAACTCTTCCTTGAATTTTTTACACGACCCCACAAGCTTTGAGCTTTAAACCATATCGTGTTTAAATAAAGGATGTGTATGTATGTATATCAGTTATCTGTTATAATTATTATGTGATGCTTAAATTTGATTTCCCTTTCTCTACCTTCATAACTAGAATCATCTTGCCGAAAAAAATCTTGTTCATAGAGACCTTGCCGCTCGTAACGTCCTTGTTGGCCATGACAATCGGGTGAAAGTGTCTGACTTTGGGTTGATGCGACAAATCTATGACGATGTGAAGGGCTCAGAAAAGTCCAAGAAACTTCCCGTCAAATGGATGGCTCCAGAATCGCTTTATCGAGGCATCTTTACCATCAAAAGCGATGTGTGAGTAGAATAAGACCTTCAATTTAACGCTAGACTATATATCTTATCGTATGAGTCTCGTACTGGATTAACTTACTTTTAATAGTCTTTTCCGAACTGATTTTTTCATCCCCGACGACGAATACGTAATTTTTTCGCGGAATATAAGTTCGGAATATTTTTGTAAGTTCTCGAACGCCATGTCATTATAGCAAAGTTTGGGTTCAAATTTTGCCAACTGATTGATATTAGTAGGATTTTGCTGGCCTCATTAAAACTAACCTAGAAAAGGCAAAGCGTGAATGTCCTTCCTCAAAATCTTCTTAGCCTTGACCGTCTGACTATATCGCTCTGTAACCATTTTGTTGTTTTCTTTCCTAGCTGGTCCTACGGCGTACTTCTGTGGGAAATGGCCACACTGGGTATGCATACTTAGACATTTATTTACTTTCCTGATTACAACTGCTTGCTTACTTTTCCTCTTTTCTAATAAAAAACACTGACTCCTATAATTTTTTTGGTCCAGGCCCCAGTTGTTCATTCCCAGATTCCGTCTTCTCTAGCTCTCGCGCGTTTGCCTCTTAATTCCCTCACACGTAACATGCTCGCACGAAAGACAATAGGCCGTGTCCGGGTTGCCCTAGACTACGAGTAGTCCCCAGTTTTCCTCAAGGATAGTAGAGCGAGCGAAACGCAAGCGCGCGTGAAAATCACCCCACGCGAGAAAAGGCGACACGCGGCGGGGAGAGAGAAAAATAAAGCCTTTTATCGAGTGGAGTGATTTTCACGCGCGCTCGCGTTTCACTCACTCTACTATCCCTTAGGAAAAATGCGGGGACTACTCGTAGTCTAGGGTTGCCCCAACCCACTGTTTCAAAGCGAGGCTAAGTGTGGAGCCATTGATATGAAAATGAGTTTTTTTACTTTCATGCAAAAGTAACTCATTATCACAAGAAAGGTTTTGCACTCGTTTTGAAAGTGAGGGTTTTTGTAACTCGGAAATGGTCTATCCTGAAGGACTCTGCAGTCTTAGACCTGAACAAGTAACGTGAAAATGATTGTCAAACTTACTGCCCAGCTTTTTCTGAATAACTGATTTTCTTCTTCTGTTGGATCCAGGAGGCGTACCATACCCTACGCTGACCAACACAGAGCTGTATCGCCTGCTCAGCTCTGGATACCGAATGGAAAAACCTGACATGAGCTCCGATGAAGTGTAAGTTGATCGCTCTAGTGATTTGAGGATATGTTATCATGGCAGAATTATAACAAAATTTTACTTTAAAAAAGAGCTTAGTACGACTTTGCCCTTTGAATACGAACAGCTGGTTCCCAGGGTCAAGATCTCCTACTCTCCCTACTCGCTCCGGGGCATGAAAAGGAAACTCGGACCATGTGAACGAGGCTGTGGAGTTCGGCACTGATGGTCACTGATGATGTATACGGCTGGCTCCGCAAGCGAACAAAATGAAGTAAATCCCGCGAGAAAGGAATTACCCGCGTTCTTTTCAGAAGAAAAACAACCTCCTTCAGTGGCATTCTTGTGGAACAACTGAGACTCCTATTTTTTTCACCTACAGTTAGTGGTGATGGGCCTATTAACCTTTTCCCGCTTCAAGCCTCCATTTGCGCGTGCGCCTGATCGTTTTTTTCTCTAACTGCTGTTGTGGTGCCAAACAAGGTTGTCCAAAAACGCTTACATGTACCATATATCCATTTTTAAGGATAATGACCCAAAAACCAAGAAGTGAGTTGACAAATCAGGATCTCAGGATTATTTCTATGACAGACTTTAAAGTGTTTGAATACAACACCAGTTTAGTTTTCTTCAGCTGCATATACTCTAAGAGACCTCTGAAATGTCTTAAACAACTCAAATGTGGTTGATTCTGTGCTGAAAGTTTGTATAGTTACCATCTCTGACCATTTCTCATCCAGCCACAGTCTTTACCTCTCAATTTCCCTTCCATTACCGCTGACTGGCATAGGTTGTTTTTTGCAGTACGCCCCTAGGCCTTATGGGGCCAGGCCGATGCGTTTCGGGTCAAGTGGTCCGAAAGATTTTTTCTCGGATATGTCGCCGAAATGCATTGACCGAAACACAGGCCCAGCCAGGGGGGGTAGTGGGATACCAATATACCTGCTATTTCGCCCCCAAGATACCAATATACCTCAAAATCGTAAAATGTGTGATACCAAATACCTAAAATTATTTTGAAACAGAATACTAAATTCCTGAAAATGAACAAGTCAGATCTTAATAAAAGAGAAACTCCTGGTTCACTGTCCTCTTCCGCTTCCTTTACGGTTGGCCAGCGTCCATGGTGATCGAATCCTTGTCACCTTGTCCATCAACGCTCTCTGCAAAAGGTTCTTCATCAGCTTCATTGGGAGAGGTGGTGTCAGTGGATCCGTTCACCAAGGCCAGGAGCAGATAATACTCCCCTTCATCTATTTCAACAGTTTCATTGTCAACAACGGTAATGCTTCTTACAACCCCCTTTATGCCCTCTTTTGAGATGACATGCTCTTCTTCCGAAGTAGTGAATAGGAGAGGATCGACAACATCTTGGGTGTAGCAGAGAGTTGTTACGTAACGAGCACTGTCATAGTCATCAACCACATCCTCTAACAGTTTTGTAATATACAGTGGGCTGTTTGGAGCAGAACGCGGTTTGTATATTCGGGAAACTACAACATATGTAGACTGGGCGATGACAATGTTACGTGCTGTGCTGGTATCTTGGTGTTGAACGGGGATGTCTTCATTGAGAAGCATGTCGAAGTCAACTGAATGTTGCTCCGGGGGTGCAGACTCATGGAGGTTCAATGGTAGGGTGCCTGGCTTGTCTTTTGTTGAAAAGTTCCTTGTGGTATTCTGCCCGACACTCTTACCGTATTGCTGTACCCACTGACAGATCTCATCCAATTGCTTCTTGGATAAGCAACCAGACAAAGGCTTCGGTAATTTTGCAAGGTCACAGAAGTTTATATCAACATCACCTAAAGTAGGCTGAGGGTAGTACGAGGCCACTGGATTTGTAAAGTACCTGTAGCTCGTACTTGTGACACGTTTTAATAATTCGTTAATACATGAGGGAAAGCGCAAGCAAAAATCGAGCATCATGGGAGTGTCTGTATTACCCCCTCTCATACTGGAAAGGAAGTTAAAAGGCTTACAATGTTTAAGTGTTGAATGAAGTTTGGATTGATCTGAGTTCCATCACCTTTGTCCTCAGTCTAGTGAGGCCTTCCAGTATCATCTTCACGGAGTTCAGTGTAGTAGCAGATAGTGTTCCGTCTGGTCCTTGGGTCTGGGAAGTTGAACCCTTGATTCCCTGAACTTTCAACGAGCCCTGTGTGCCCTGGGTACGAGATTGCGATTCGGGAGGTGGTGTGAGTGGGGTGGTGGTGGGAGACTGGGATAGGAAGCCAAACAGTAACAATTTCGAGCATCCGCACTATTTCTAGTGAGCATTAGAGCGATAATAAAACTAAGAAATGAATTATACATTTCTCAGTGACTTCTGTACCATATACCGAATACCTAGAATTCAGGAAAAACTGAATACTTTATACCCGAATTTTGACCAAAAAATACCATATACCTGAATTGAAATAGCCCGGGATACCGTATACCCAAAACCCCTGGCCGGGCCTGGAAACAGGACTGGAAAGACACTGTACCGGGACTAGGCAAAGGTTGTTGTATTTCTTAAACAAAAACATGACCACTAAGGAGCTAATTTGAGAGAATTATAAATCGGTTTGTTTTTAACTGTCTTCGACAGATATGAGTTGATGACAGAGTGCTGGAAGGAAGACCCAAGAGCTCGACCCAGTTTCTACCAGATGATAGAAAAACTGGAGATCATCATGCAGAAGGATGCACCATATTTGGATGTGAACAAGCATGATGAAGCCCATGCATACTATAACGTGCCTCCAAATATGGAGTAACTACTAATAAAGAACGCTACGTAGGGCCGGCGGTTTCTAATTAACCTGAACATTTTATTAACTCGTCAACGGAGATTCCCTTTTTAAAATGGTCCCCTGATTAAAGTTAACCGTACGGTAAATAGCGAAATTAAGCAATTTTTTGAGCTAAGAGTTTGTGTAACAGAAACAAAATTAATACAAAGTATTATGTGAAAATTTCAACGTTTACAGTTCTGATCTTATGGCGATGATTATACATTATGTATGCGTATGAGTTCTAGTTGCGTTACGTGTTCAAAATGCCTCCACATCTGGAGTAACTGCTAATGAAGAATGCTACGCAGGGCCGGCGGTTTCTAATTAACCTGAACATTTTATTAACTCGTCAAAGGAGATTCCCTTTTTAAAATGGCCCCCTGATTAAACTTATCCGTACGGTAAATAGTGAAATTAAGCAATTTATGAGCTAAGAGTTTGTGTAACAAAAAAAAAAATAAAGCAAAGTATTATGGGAAAATTCAACGTTTACAGTTCTGATCTTATGGCGATGATTATACATCATGTATGCGTATGAGTTCTAGTTGCGTTACGTGTTCAAAATGTGATACTATAGAAGGAAGAGAAATCTAACATAGAAAGCTCCCTCGGAAAAATTGTCGATCTCCACATGAGAGTCGAACGTACGACCCTCCGAGTTCTAGATCGGATGCTCTAGGTACTGGGCGCGGCTTCTGGAGTGCTACGGTGTTACGTGCTTGCAACGCAGGCCTCTTTTGTGGACCGGCAAAAGCTGTTTATTTATGTCAATATTACCTTTGACAACTGAGGAAAATTGGAGAGAATAGTAACAGCAACACTTAGGGTTTCCCTCGGAGTAGACGGTAGGGCAAAAGAAGGAGGCGGGGGATGGGGAAACAAAAATCTGACAAATCTGACCCTTCTGACTATGTACTACAAACAGCATTACCTTGTTCCACCACCCTCTCCACCCACAAAATATACCGTAAAAACTATACGGGAGGGGATATCCTCTCTTGAACACCTCCCATTCCGGCCCCAACATCACGTACCGGTGCTTAGTTTTCGCCTACAATTAGAGAAATTAACGAATCCAGCGATCGACCTCGAAAGTCACACGGAACAATTAGACATTGATAAGCGAAAGATCACTCGAAACAGAAAGATCGCGTGAGGTTATATTAAAACCGTGTTAGAAAGAGGTGCATCGTGGGCCACAGTGGGATTACAGAAAAAATTATAAATAATTAAATAAAAAATGATGTGAGTCATGTGACTTGAGCGCTGCAAAAAATGCTTGCAGTTGAGTCAGGTCAAGCGTACCAGCCTAGATATAATGAATCAATTATTTCAAAAATCAGTCCTTTAGTCGTTGCCCCAACCGGAATCAAATTCAAATCAGCCCTGAATGCCAAGAGCCATAATGGCTCTTGTGCATACGTAATGAGCAGTGAATTTTTTTTGGAAAACCTCTCTGTTTTCGGTCAGATTGAAAATTGCTTTGAAGACATTTACATCAAATTCAAGAAAACTGAGCTGGGAGTAATTTCATAACTACCTAACTTGTGAATTCACTTTTTATTACGCACGCAGGAATGCAGAGATAAATTAACCTGAAATCTACAACTACCAACGGATTCAACTTTAGAATAATAAATTCCGTGAAATTCATTAATAATATAGTCTACAGGGCGGGGGGCACCTGCAACTGAATTTAAGAGTCCATTATGTATAGTTTTCAGACGAGGTCTCAATGAGCTGATTGACTCGACACAAAGACCTTGCCCGGCCCCATGAACGCCTTTTTCTTAAGACCACGCTTTTGGCGGGATGAGCATAGAATTTGCTCTGTTGTATTCATGGAAGGTAGATCTTGCATCTGCGACTGATCGAAGAATTTCAGCGCCACCCCTAGTAAAACAGTAACAAAAACAATTAGTATTAGTATTCACCAAATTAGTGAACAGCAATTTTCGCGCCTTCTGATTGGCTCCCTTAACTCGGAATTTCCTTGGATATTCATTGTTTTGGGACGTGATTCAAAATGGCTTCTCGTTTCGCGACAGTTTCAAAAGATAACATTTTAGTGTTAAATTAAGCAGCTGCACCAGCAAATACCGAGAAAGAGACAAAATTTGGCTTGTCGGTGTTTACAGGTCGATAGAAAAAAACTTTCTTGCTGAATTTGCAACAAAATCTTAAAAAATGATCCCCGAAACACTGTCAATTGAAACACGAACAAACTCTAACAAGTGACGTCTTTTATTTACAAAAAGTTCCTTTTTGATTTTTATCCAACTGATTTGGTAAATACTAAAACAGCTATCCCCCTCAGGGTCGGTTCATAGCGCTAGAGATATACCTCGACGCTTTGCGTATCTGTATATATCCTCCTGTTCACCTCCCCTTGGTAAAAGACACCCCATAATATAAAGGACTTTATAACAATGTTATTTCCTTTATCTTCTTTTTTTTAAACTTAGATGCAGTCCCTAACATCTTAGCTCCAGGACACGATTCGCTAAAATTTATCAAACTGAGCGAGTTGGAATTAGAGAGAAATGAGAGGACAGGGTAACCAACGATGCCTCAGTTCGTGTTTTCTGTATGCTTTAGAAGCCTGCCGGTTTGGTTAATTTGGAGCTGCCGGCTCAAAACTATTCACCGTTTCCGGTGACTTGGGAAGAAGTTTCTTCGTCTCGAAAGAAGTTTTAGGTGACTTTTACATCTAATCCAAAACTGTCAGCTACCCCGATAGGTCCGGTCGAAAGTTCGAGGGCATGAAGTAACGGTACTTTCATTAGACAATTCTAGGAGACGTTTTGTCTTTATACCGAAATTTTCAGGAGACCTTCGTTATATCTTGGAAATAAAATGGGAAAAACATAGCCTCCAAAAATCGTAGGTATGTTAGTAGATTTAAATTTTTTAGCCTTTCTGGAAATTTTTAGGCAATATTTGCTCATTCAAACGACCGGATCCATCAGGGTGGTCTACATTCACATATTAGGGAGCATAAGAACCAAGACGACGACTTTGTTGACGACGACCGGAAGTGAGTTACAGTGTACTGCGCAAGCGCGACCAGTAAATTTCGTCGTGGTGTCGTCGACGACGCCAAACAAAGTAGAATCACCTCGTCCTGCAATCCACAAGCTTCGGCAAATACAAATACACTGTTTTAAGCAATTTTTGAAGTCCTTATCATTTTCTTATCCTCGTAAATCGAGGCATCGTTCCTTTTTTCTCCTAACAGGCGCGCGATGTTGATTGAAAATTAGACTAATTAATTGTTTTTACTTCGAAGAATGACAACAGCTGTGGAGTCCGAGCGAGCGAACTCGTAAGTGATAAATTTATTTGTACGTATTTAGGTAAGGCAGAACATTGATCTTTAACATAGAGGAAATAAACTTTATATGGAAAACAGCTATCACATCAGAATGTCTCTTCATAGGCGTACGGGCCGGGGGGGCGAGGGGGGCTGCAGCCCCCCCCCAAAGTTTGAGCAACTCAGATTTTTTGGGCAGCAAGAGAAAACTTGGGCAAAGCCAGTTTTTAAAGACGTTTCCACGTTTTTTATTATTATTATATATATTTTGAAGACACAAATATTTTCTGTTTTAACCAGAAGTCGGCGTAATAATTCAGTTACGTTCACACGAGAGAGTGGTTGCCTAGCACGTGATGAGTTTCTGGTTATAAGAGAAGAGTATCATATGCTGATTTTTTGTTTGTTGTTGTTGGGCACTGTACTTCACTGTACTAGCTGGAGTGGGCTATTTCCAGTCATGAATTGATTAGAATAAACTTCCGCATAACTTTCTAGAATCACCTCCGCTCCCAGAACAGTGTGTGGCAGAACACGCATCAGCAGTAGGTCTGAAAGTGAAGTGGCTGACTAATTCTCAGTTTGAATTACGAGAAGAATCATAATTTTCTTGAAAAAATCTATCGAGGGTTTAAAAATTATTCACTAATTTGCTTGAGTAGACCGAAATGTTTACGAAACCGTCCTAACAAGATCGAGCGCTAATCAAATCCTTCCTTATTAGCAACTGGCAGGAGCTATCTCCATGATCTTTCATACACGTTTTTAATAAGACTGAAACTCCGTTTTCTAAACATCAAGATTTTCCTTTTTTACCTTATTTCTAACAATAAAACCTTTATCCCAAAAGATCTCGATAACGCTCTACAGTTCCGTTTTAACTTCACGAACATCGAGGCGACTATTAGAGGAAAGAGCTTCCCTGAACGATTTTGTAAGAACAGTTCCCAGTGAGAAATATTTCGAAATATTGCTGCAAGTATAATAGGTAATGGCGTCATTTCGTTGCTATGACAGCTCCGATGTCATTGCAACCCTGATCATCACAAATTTCCCTCTTTATCTAATACAACTGTGGTGGCAATTTTTTCCAAATGCTTGTTTGTGGCGACGTAGTTTATGCTCAAACTTGGCAGGTATTGACTCTGAAAAACTGTATCGAGCCACTTTCATATGCCAGTACGGCCTATTTTGTTGCATGGCCCTAGTTTCCTTTCGACTGTTTTGTAAAAATTTGGGCAACTTGCAAGAATTTTTTGGGCAAATGGATTACCGCCCCCCCCCTGGCCAAAAATGCCCGTACGCCTATGTGTCTCTTTTTCCCAATCTAAACTCTGACAGACACTCAGACTCGGTCATCTCATTCACGTTGAAAGTTGAATAATCTTCGTTCAGAAAGCAGGTGTTTTTCAACTCGAAAAGGTCATACAACACAAAACATTCTTCGTCGTCAATGAAATTAGACGTACGGCTTAAAAGATAAGATCTTGCATTGTTTTAAAAGACGCCATTGCGAAAAATTTTGTTGCGAATGAACATCACAGTTTTACATTTGTGTTTACATTCGGTGTCGTCGTCGTCGACCTACCGACGGACTGCATCTTAAGTTTCCTTTTTCCCGCCCAAACCGACGTTCTCGTTCCAGTCTTTTCCCAGTCAACAGACGTCGTAGTCGTGAACTTCGTTGTGTTTCTTAAGTTCCCTATCGTGGCGGATCCAGACTTTCATTTAAGGGGGAGGGGGGGAGGTGGCAGTCATCCAGACCCTGAGATAAGGAGGAGGCGGTATCAAAAACAATTCTTTTCTGCCCTTCGGGCCTCAGTTTAGTCTAAAAATAGGGGGGACAGGGCCCCCCAGACCCCTCCCCTGGATCCGCCAGTGGTCCGGACAAATTTTTGAACGGATAAAAACTTGCATGGGTCCGCCTTTCGTTCACACGTTATCTGCGCAACCGTGCAAGTTTTTGAGGGGCAAACTTTACCACAATCTGTAACAGAATCTGCATCGGTTCCGTGTAAACGGCCTGTTGCTGCACAGGTAAAAAAATTCGTTTGTTCCCGTATAAACGCCCCTCATGACTATCTCAGGATTAGCTTTGTGCAGAAACAACGTCTTAACATCTGTGTTAAAGTGATTTCAACACTGAAAATCAACTCTTTTTTTTTTCTCGGTAACTCTCTTTTGACGAACAGTCAATTCGGTACACTCTGCACTACAGTTGGGTTCTGAATTTGGTTATAACCAATGTTATTATAGGAGGTCAATCCGAAGAAAGTTAGCACTTAGACGGTTATATGTTCGAAAGGCTTTTTCTGTGATCATAGTGGATTATTGAAAAAGAGTGGTTGCCACAAATTTGATTGCAAATTTTAATAGAATTTGCCGATACTATTTTCCTTTTATGTAATTCGTGGAAGTGACAAGAAACTAGCTCTGCTGGGAGTCGGACACTGTAGTCTTTCCTGATGGACAGACGCCGGATGCACAAGTTGTTATCGATCAAATTCAAACGGTAGCATCACTTTTTGCAGTCCTTTTGCGCTGGGATTTAACAAAATAATTAGATCTAGTTTAAATTACTACATCTAAAGTTTACGATAAACATCAATAAAAAGCCCAGAGCTTCTTACCTAGGGTTTTTTTTCCCACAGATTAATTCAAAAAAACGTTTCTCGTGTTGACCAGCCAATAGGAACCAAAGAAAATGACATTGTTTCAACAACAGAAATGCATGATATAGATCGTTTTCACTGTCACGCAACGAAAAAAAATAAATTGGAAATCGTCCAAAGGAAGAAGCCAAGAAAATGAAATGTTTTAAAAGACTAATTTTTAAACAATTTGTCCAAGTCTCAGGTCTTTGTGGCCCAAAGTCTCTGAGTCATTTGCCGAAAAGTTTCGCGCACCTTTGTAGAACTTTGTATGTAGACGCCATATTGGTGCACCGTTTTGGTGCACCAATATGGCCGCCGGAAATCAACGAAACATCTAGAGTTCACTTTTTCCATAAAAGCTCTTTCTTTTTCAGTCGAGAACTAGCATACGTGCGCATAAACATATCTTCTAATACTTGAAATGTTTATACTGCTGAAAATCAAGAGGAGAGACTTTTTCAACGAGACAGCATTCCTATTTTGGTGTCACGCACTGTGAAAACTCGGAAGTTCAAATTGCTGTATTTGCGAAATGAAACATGCTACAGAAATAGAAACTTGTACAAAGATTTTCTTTTTGTTAATCTTCTACCTAGTGTAAATAGGAATTCGTAAAACCTCGCTATTTTGACTTTACAATTTGATGACGTCACTATGAAAACCTCGTATACTAACAGCAGGTTGGTGATAGAATACCTGAATTTTGGCATTTTAATGCACTTGATGCACTTAAAAGTGCGTCAACTCAATTAGGTCAGTGTGACATCAAAGCGAAATACATGTTGACGATATGTATGAAGTCTATTTAATTAGTTTATTCCAAATTCCAATTCGACCAGGAATCAGGTAGACGAAGAACCACTTAGTGGATGTGCTATAAGTGGATGTGTTCTAAATCATTATTTAATTATTTATTCATGTATTTATTATTTATACACTCAAAGTTATTTTGAAGACTTAGCATTAGACCATATCAGACTTGCCAGGTTTAGAAGATTTCTGACAGTAATCGTAAGCAATGTGCCCTGCAATATGCGCGTTCATCAGTACAATAGCTACTAAATGAATGAGCCCACCAAAACAGCCAGCATCCTCTGGAGTGCTACACAATGTTAAAAGTCACTTAAGTGTAGTCTACGCCGTAGGCAAATTCGCCTTCCCATCTAAAACTAGACACATCAAAATATATAATATAAGCTAATATAACACTAGTCGATCGTTTACTAGCCAGCGAGCAAGCTCTCCGGGCGCTCTTGTGGCGGGGTGGGAAAAGGAAGGAGAGCTTGCAACTACGTTTCTGGAATTTGAATTCCACCACCAATTCCCCTGAGGCTCCCCGTCGACTGGGCTGTCAGATTTCCGCCAATCAGCGCGAGGCGGAAGCGAGCGCGAATGTAAACAAACATTGACGCGACACTACCAGGGGTAACGACGTCATTACTAATGTCATATTCGCCAACAAGAGCCATCGCCAATCATCATTTCACATCGACTTTTTCCATGCAGATATTCAAATTCCAGAGACGTAGTTGAAAGCGCTTCTTCCTTTTCCCGCCCCGCCGCCAGAGCGCCACGGAGAGCTTGCACACTAATCGTTTACAAGCACTTGCACCCTGGACGAGGGTCTCCAGTCAGGAGGTGTTTGGGGATCTGCGATGAATTCCCTTATTTGAAGGCGACATTTAAGCAAGATAGGGGAGAGAATCGGAATTGAAAGTATGCACGGGAGACGAGATGCCAAAAATAGCCAATTTTTCTTATTGATAACAACCCACAAATTCAACATTTTCCAATTTTCCAAAGTTTTAAACACTCCCTCCCTATTTTTTAATACATTAAAAACATTCGACGGAAAAATCATCCAATGAATCATTTTTGATGGAATGAAATCTTGGTTGGATATATAAGGAACAGAGCGGAAATAAACGAAATTGCTTTTAACCGACTGCCTCCTTAATATATGCACATCAGTGAAACTTAATGTAATTAGCCAAGGGACAGAGAAAGTTAATGCTGTCTTAAAAAGGATAATATTCATCATAAATGTGAGGTAAATCATGCTGCGGTGAAGATGGGAAATGGCAGTTTGCGTAGCCTGAGTAGCAGACCATTTTTTTGGTTTGTTTTTAAAATAAGATCCAGCCGTGTGAGAGCTGTACCGAGGCACCACTCGTTTTATCATTTGAACTCGTTTCAACTTTCGCGCGGCTGTGTCTCTTACTTTACAAATCCCAAAAGAAAAACAATCCAAAAACTGCCGGCTTCCTAGGTTAAGGTTTACGTGAAAAAGTATGAAGCTCGTCGAAAAGCACGCCAAAGCAACCGCAGAGTAATCAGTAATAGGTACCGACAATCTCTCGATGGTGTGACGTAAAAGAAAACTGGCATGGTAACCATTTCCTTAGTCCACACATGTCTTCGCTCATATCTTCTTTTCGATGCAGCGACCTCAAAATACGCCAGTGAAAAACTGCAATTAACGCTTTAAACTTTGACTTACAACCTTGAACTTCGCATCTCCCATTCCCGATACGACTTAAATTTAAAAGTGAAATCTCTCTACACTCAGCTCTCTTTTTGGAGAGAGTACGGCACATTGGGCATTGCTAGTAATTCTCTGCAGGAGGCAGGCACAGTTTTCGAACGTGCCCTATCCCCCCTGACTCTGCAAGTCAATTTGAAAAAATGTCTGAAGGAAGTTACGACAAAGTTACACCGGTAATAGCAGGCTATTACCTAGGCTATGATATCACTATACCCGACAGCTTTTTGTGCCGGAACGAAAAGCTATCCAGTATCATCCGATATGTAGCTCTCCACCGGCTTTAGAGATCTACGCGGCGCACCTTCTCTCCGTTACACTCGCACTGAAATCACCCTTCTTATGTGTGAAAAGAAGCCTTATCCGGTATGGATTCCGTGCCGGCACAAAAGCTATTAGTTATAATGTGAACATAGCCTTATTTACCATCTGTTCCTTTACCTACTTTTCTATTTTGTTTTGTTTTGTTTTTTATGCATCTTCAATATTTTTTTTAGATACGCACTTGCGTACTAACGCCCAGCTAGGTACGCCTCAGGGGCATTACGCCTCTAGGTACGCCTCATTTTCTCGGCTATAACTTAAAACTCATTATAAGACGGACAGTCTGGCGCGATTCCGACAATGTCAAGACTGCGAGAAGACGCTCATTTTCCTTTTGAATCTCACAGTAGACCCAAAGCACGCGTGACGCACGCAAAGCCTCAACCTTTCCGCCCCAATCTCTCCTCCTTTTTAAAATTAATTTGCATAATTTTACTTTTTCGCTCGCCGCGCGTGGCTTAGAAGAAGGAAGGACGACCCCGCTCGCGGTCTAGAGGGTGTCCGTTTTACTGTCGATCCCTTCACTGTACTCCTTTTAAGCGGCGACTTTGTTTTACAGATTCAGTTATAATGAAAGAAAAACATTGCGACTCCAATATTATGCACCTAGCATAGGCACTCGAAATATTATTTACAGTACTATAAATCTTACAAAAACTCAGGCTCACATTAAGCTCTTTGAAGGCAAAAATTCAAATAATTATTGAACCTAACACATCAATATTTCATATACGACGCAATGCTGTCTAAACCGTCAGAAATGAATCTTTCACTTAGGCAGAATAATGTCTTTAGTCCGGTGGTATAATTAAAGAAAGTCAAATGACTACGATTAAGTTTGGTGGTAAAAACACCTTTATCTGGCATACGTTTTTGACAAGTTTTATATAAACGTACCTCAATTTTCTCAACTTTTGAGCGGTTTTATTTTTTGATTGATTGTATAAAACAAAGTGACCTACCTACCTCTGGGCCAGTGAGTATAAATGTTTTCTTTTTCCAAGAAGCAATTTACGCACAGCAGTTTAAACGCAAAGATAAGGTCAATGCAAGATATGTTTCCCCATATGCTCAGGAAGAGCTCTAAATTATAGCAATAATAGAAATTGACACACAGAACAGGGCAAACGTCCGGTCCCCAAAATGTTCGAGCAAAATTAGCTGGTGAGCACGCTCTCCGTTTTGGTAAACGGCGAGGGAAAAGTGGATGTAAGGAAGCCCTCGCTCGGAATCTGGTAGACCATATCGTTTCCTTCGCCCCATATAAGGTTACCCGGATTCTCGAATTTGAAGAATTTTTGCTTGTGGACTGGAATCCTGGTTTTTGGAATCCGGAATTCAGCTTAAGTAATTCATAATCCAAGTTCCACTGACAAGGAATCCAAAATCCAGTACCTAGAATCCGGAATCCACAACTTGGAACCGAGAATTTAAGACTGTCTTGGATTAGCATACATGGGGTTTCTATTTACTTAACGTTGGCTGGCCATTTAGAATTGTCATTCTTGGTCCACTTATATTTTCCGATCCTGCTCTAATGGGTATAAAGTGTTAAATTCAGCCATCTGGTCTCAAAGAGGCAACTACAGTTTGTTTAACAAATATAGTTCATTAAACATTTCATGACTGATGTTTTATGGTCAACTAAACTGACTGAACGGCGACTGACGCGATGGATTTTCTGTCAGGTTAATCTTTCTCTGACAACGACACAGTTCTGGTAAGTACTAACAGTATACTATGAAATTAAATAGTATGTTACACGTAAACAATTTTAAAAAAAACTTCATTTATTTGTGCATTCAGGGCTGGAGACACCGAGGGCAAACTAACAGGAATTCTAGCTTTGAACACGGAAGCCCCAGCAAGGGCAACTGTTTGGAGAAGCAAATGTTGCCTAGGGTTTTCTATGGCTTGAGGAGGGCTAAAAATTTCCGAGTGACCTTTCCATTCCTGTTAAATTCCCTGCGATTTTCTGAAGTTTAAGTTTTCACATTTCACTCCCCATGTTAGGCTATTTTTAACGTTTTATGAAAGTGAATTTTTTTTATTCCTCTCTCCATCACATTTTTGAATCCCGGCAAAAATTTTACTTTAAAAAAAAACAAGAAATTCTGCGGCAATTGCTTAGAGTTTCAACCTTCTTTTATCGTAAAGCTTCTCTTTATTACAGTTTTGCAATCGAGTGGAGTGTGGTTTAGGGAACAAAGTAAATTTTTCAAATGTGGTAATCTATTCATTATCTATCTTGACAAGTTGTCAATTTACAAATGAACCGAACCGTGAAATATCAAGGGGCGTTTTCCAGAATCGTGGGGTTTCCGGACAAGCGTTTCCTCTTCTCCCCTCCCCCTCCCCCTTCCATTTTTTTTGCTCCCGCTTCAACTTTCGCGCTATAACTCGACTGGAAACGCTTGCTACGCAGGCTATCGATCACTTGATACTCGCTCATGATGCAAGTAATCTCCATGTCTTTTTTTTTTTGAATGAATGAATTTATGAATTTTGCATTTCCTAGCTGGTAGAATTGTTAGTAGACACCTTTCTGACTCGCTTTATCATTGGCTACTATTGACAAGTTTTGAAATTTTACTTGGTAAAACTGACAGGTTGATTTACACTGTTCTCTGCATAAATTTAAGAAAGTAGTTGTTTCTCATATTTCAGAATCAAAATGCGATTGACAAACGAGCGCTTGGCGATGAACTATGTTTATGGTTTTAATAATGAAGGCGCAAGATATCCTACGTAAGAAATTCCGAGCAAAATTTTGAACACAGCTCGCAATCAACGATCTATCATGCTGAATTAAGTAAAGCCGTTTCGTATTTTGAGAACTTAGATACCCAAACTTATCAAAAAATTTTAAGAAGCAAGTTTCCTAAAAAAAGAAGCAAGATCGAGATCCGTCTTGTCATTTTCTTAACTCTGTTATTACTTCCTTGTATAACAGGTGACTGCTGCAAAGTTGGGGCCCTGAACAACTCCAACGCCGGGTTGACGGCATTGGACTCTTCCATTTAACTTGACGAACGTTCTCTATATAATCAGGTGGTGTACTGTGGTTTTCTTGATATCTCTTAGTCCCTGCAAAAATATTCTGCTTGAGATTTTTGGTTTTGAAACTTTCCTTTCTATTCCAGAGATCTGTGGATTAAACGATAAAAGGCGCAAACTTTGTTTTCTTTTAAAAGAGACGATAAAACATTACATATTATGTTGAGATGATGATGTGAGATTCACCGATCAGTTGGGGAGACATACTTTCACGACAAACGTCAATCTTAGGTTAAAGATTTCTCAAATTAGGAGATTGGTGGACAAAAACTGTCCAAACAATTCCTATTTCGTATAAGAGGCGTAAAAAAAGAATTTTTGTTTGTCGTAGATATAAAAAACAGTTCACAGCGAGTTAAAGAAAATCTTCATTGGTCGCGGGACGAGCATCGTAAAGGTGATTCAGCGTTTTCACATGACGTCACGGCGGCCAGTTTAGAACACTGGAACGGCGGCCATGTTTGTGTTTCAAACCAATACTGTGGGAGTTGAACTCTTTTCTTATGTAAACGCTTTCTTTTGTTGCAATTAATTTGCATAGCAGCTGGGCACGTGAGTGAAAACGCTCTATTTACAACTGGTCTGCAAAAATATAAACTTCTTCACCGACTCTTACTGGGTCTTACTGAAATCTTTATGTTCTTTTCTTTTGGTCTTTTCCCATGACCTTTACTAGGATTTCATGCAATTTAATTTTGAAACTGTATTTGCAGCAGCCGCTATTTCTAACCATAGTTAATTGAGTGGAATGGTTACGAAACCCGTCAGACTCCTTTGTTATATGTTTTTGTGGACCTGAAAGTGCACAACGTTCAAAAGAATTCCTATCATTTTGATTGTATTGACCAATAAAAACGTTGCATTAATTTATTCCGTAACAATTTGTCAACAGAAAACAAAGGATTGTGCACTTTCACGGTGCTTTGAACATAAACTGCAGCACTGTTGTTTTTATCATTGATGTTTGCCGCTTTTCATAACCTAATAACTATGTTCTAACCATATCGAAGTATAATATCTAGTTTGTAACACCAAAGTCTAAAAACAAAAAGCTGCAAGGAGACCCCGCAGACAAGGAAAAATTATCGCTGTAGTGGCTTCATGAAAAACTCGGTTTTTACAATAGTCAATTTGAATAGCTTTGGCTGACGATCAACTAACTTTTTCCTTGCGTCACAGTAACGGTCGAAAGGCTGCACATGACTTTTGCTGCGATTTTCACATTGACCGTCATTGTGGGATGGGTACACCGAAATTAGTGCGCACCTAAACTGCAATAATATGGCGTCACTTGTTGAAGCAAAATACCACACTGTAGCAACCATACATGAACCCATAATCCGGAGCGAGCAAGTTCCTTGCGCTTGTGTCATGGCGTTTTCACGGACCTGTTTATTTTTAGAACGGTTTTGGCGCGAATTTTGAATATCTGGTAAATTCCACAAACCAGTCAGCAAAACCTACAGACCTAGAAATGATATTTTTGCCTTTTAATAACATTTAGTTTTCCTTTTTGATATCCTATACTTCGAATACGCTCATAGACATGGTGGAGATTTTATTTTCGCAGGAAAAAGTGCCCTAAAATGTATCTAAAAATAAATTAAACATGTCCCTAAAAACGCCGTGACATAGTCCTAGCATGTAAGCTCCGGTTTATGGGCTCCTGCTTATTATAAAAATCCTTTGCTTCTCACCTTAGATCTGAGTCACAATGCCCAATATACACTTGTTCGTCTCACTCTTGCTCGTGACAACTATATCTCATGCTGGTAAGTCATATTTTGTCCACGGAAATCGATGGAACTCCATGGAGGTATTTCTTACTGTATGTACCAAGTTATGTCACGCTATTTTCTACCTTTTTAAAAAGCTAAAGCGTGTTTTCGAATCAATTGAATTCCAAGAATAAGACTATATTTAGACATTAAAACCGTTTCCTTCCGTCTGTTAATATGGATGGCAAGGACGACTGAAACTTGAAAAAATGGCCAGACTTTTCAATGCAAAAAATTACCAAAAAATAATTATGGCTAGTGCTGTCTGATAAATTTTGTTTGGGACCTTCTCCATAACTCTAAAGGAGCATTTTGTATAAGTGTACAGGCACTAAGTAATGACTTCAGCACGTAATATTCCTAAAAACAGCAATATCCTCGAGACAAACCCCTTTTCACACCAAGATAAATTGACTACTATATAATTAAAAGGCCCAATCACTGTTGTGGAAAGTCAAATCTCTTTCTTTTTTCCACGAGCTTGACGTGGCGAGTGTTTCACCTTTTCCAAAACGAAACGTGTTATTATTCTCTTGTCTTAAAGCGTCAGCGTGTCCAAATATGGCAATCCTGACAGGGACTTCGGGCATCATCACAAGTCCTTCTTACCCGGGAAATTATGGTAATAACCACAATTGCAGCTGGAAAATCATGCCAAGTACAGGAAATCGCGTCAAGTTGGTCATTCAAGACATGTACATAGAAAGTGGGACTAACTGTCGCAACGACTATATACAAATTCAAAATGCTGTTATACATGGTAGTGGTGTGCTTCCTGGGCGTTTATGTGGTTCACTCACCAGCAATTCGACTTTTTCTTCTTACCACGAAACCTTGATTGTACGTTTTGTAACTGATGGTTCTGTAACAGCCCGTGGATTTAAAGCAAGATACACTGTTATTCCTGGTAAGTAGAAAGAATTATGTTTTGCAGTGCTTCGCGCTTTATTCAGTATAGTATGTTGCGCGGTATCTCGGCACAATCGCTTGTAAACACTAGAAATTCTTGTTTGAGCATAAAAGATTTCTGAATTTTGTCCTCAATGATAGTCCTTTACATTTCTCTTGAAAGGTTTCCACTTTGCTCAATTAAGCATATTTAAAATCAGGAGCATAGCAAGCCATTTTTTCCATTTAAGCCCGATTTGAAGAGGTCCTGAGAAAGCGAGGGAGGAGAGATTCATTCATTCATTCAGTCTTTCGTTCGTTCGTTCGTTCGTTCGTCCCTACCTCCCTCCCTCTCTCCATGCATCCATCCATCCATCCATCCATTCATTCACAGAGTTGTAAAACTTTGGAACTCGAATGTAAACGGTGCTGGTATTGGTTCTGCATGGCGATAAAAAAAAAAAAAAAAGATTGAGCACTACCAGTATTATGTATTTGATTGTTCATTGAAAAAAACGTTATTGAATTTTGAAAAGAGTGAAAACATAAAAAGGCCCAATTAAAACAAGTGGATTTCTTGACATTTCAATAGCTTTTGCTCCTTGAAGATCGGGTCAGTATGCGCTTCGTACCTAGATTTTCTTACTTATCGCCTACGATGTGTTGAGGACTTAGTAGAAAGCCTAGGTATCTTCTAAGCCATAAACAGTTTTCAAAGGGAACGTGAAGAACAACGGGTCACCTTTGCTCAAAAATGTTGTCAAATGAGTAATTAGCAGTGATTCGTCAACGAACGGGTTCTTTTAGTTAAAAAAAATAACCGTGTCACAGTCACACCTTGATATTAAACAGTTTTTGAATTCTTTATAAAAGAACTCTGTTACACTCAAGTACATCTCCTAAGGTCAATAGGGACGTGAGTGTCTCTTTAGTGCTGCATGTCTCGCTTGTGTGCACTAGAACTAGGGACTCCATCAATATCGACGATCGTGAGTATATATTATTATATCTCAGAAAAACGAGTACTCAGAGAGTAAAATGGCAACTTCCTCAGGTCTTTGTAAGGTCTTCAGCTGTTTCGTCCTTTGTATCTTCTGAGGAAGAGATTCTAATTTGTCACAGAAGAAGGATGAGAGGCAGCCCGGTTCAGTTTAGATTTAGTGAGAATACGGCTCTTCCGACTATCAAATTTGAGTTACTATGTTTGCAAAATAGAATTGCAGAGCGAAGCTAGTTCATAAAGGGACACAGTCAGCTGATGCAGATGGGCATTAGCTGCCATTTCTTAGCTGATTTGCATGTTAGACGACGCGCATGAAACAGAAGTGACAAGCGTATCCGGAATACTCTAAGCAAACCTTGTAGAGTTGAACTAGTTACAAGCCGAAATCGTGATTATAGACCCTAAGCCGTATAAGAGCACTCATTTTATATATATATATATATATATATATATATATATATATATATATATATATATATATATATATATATACCATTGACGTAGAGGGAGACGAGGGGTTCTGCGTAGTGGTGGAGATGCTGGAGTGACGTCACAATAGCTCAGGGGATTAAAATGATGAGATCATCATCTAAAATAGAAACGTATTCTGTGTAACAATCTAGGGAGTTGACGTCGTCAAAAAACTATGAGATCATCATCAAAATAATCATTTAATATGGTAACTGGTGAGATGACATCATCAGCTTAAATTAGAAAGGGTTTTTTTACATCATCAGCTATTTTCTATAGTCTATGACAACATTATTTATTTTTATTTTTATCTTTTTAAGACCATATAAATGAAAGTTATTGTCATTAATTATTATTATCATCGGCAAAACGAAAACGGGTATTATTCAGTCTTTCATAAGAATAAAGCTTAATCATTATCGCATGATCGCGAGGGCCATAGTTCCCCCCTCAAAAGAAATAACGTCTCTCAAGAAAACATTTTGCGACCTCCCAGGTTCAACAATTTCCAAGCTGAAAGAACTCCATTCTGAAGTATTTCTAAGAGTTAATTTGGGCAGACTCTTGGTGTTCTTGAAATTTGCAAAGGATCTGGAACTGACGCAGGAAGAATGGGGACAATAGACCGATTGCAAATATGGCGACGATCTCACCAAAGCGAGGCTTTTCGGTAGCAACCGTTGCTAAGGGCTGGTTGCTTGTTTATATGCTAATGCGAGTCCGTTATCTTCTTGTTCTTTTTTTCATTCTGGAAACAATAAAAAACTTTCATGAAGAAGTCATCGTCGCTTCGTTGTGTTAAAATAAAGGTCAGTGCTTTTTACTTTGCCTATATTATTCAAATCGGAACGTAGACGATAGGAAAAATCACGGTTGCGATGTACTCATTTCCGACTTTGAACTTGAACTTCTTGAAAATGTTTTAGACTCAGTTTCACTGTATGTTCTTTTTACCGAACAGTATTAAGTTCTTAATGGATAGGCCTGTGGAAAAGATGCATGTGAAGGAATTAAAAGAAATTCTTTTAAGGAAGAAAGTGAGCCTGAAAGGATTAACAGTGAAGGCCCAACTTGTTGCAAAGTAAGCAGCGCTTTTAACCCTCTGTTTTATATGATTAAATACACTTGAAAACCGTGTAATGCACCTTTGTCTTTTGTCTCATTATTTTTTTCTGTCTAAGTGAATGCATGTTTAAAATTAGCGTCCCTTGTTGATTTTTTTGTGCAGAGTGAAGGAAGTACTTCAAAGGTGTACAGATGATCGCAGGCAAAATGATCAAAATAATCAAGCGACCGCCGCTGCACTTCGTGCTCGAAGCAAAAAGAGCGACTCAGATCTTGTTAGGGAGAATGAGGAAAAGTTTAGATTTTGTCGCTGTGAGAAGAATATGGATATGATAAACTACTGGACGATCTTCCTCCATTCACGTATAATACCATCGTCAAATATGTCCGAAACTTCGGTAAAAACATTCAGAATTCCCCGGACTACATGGTAATGAAGCCGTTTGAACGAGGTGTCAATTTTTTTATTGAAGGATACCTTCATAACCTTCAAGAATCGCAAAGAGAGCAAAACCTTTTATTTCAGATCCCTCTGCTGCCGAAGTTTACGGAAAAGTGAACCCCCACATAAAATAAGATTAGCGATCTCAACAGAGCAACCTTACGATTTACTTGCTTCATCCTGCACCTGTGTCGCTGGATCTTTGGGGTTTTGTAATCATGCCGTAGGCCTAATGTATCTAGTTTCCCACTATTCCATGACTAAAGCTAATAGGGTCCCCGATGTTTTGGTTTGCACCTCCCTCCCACAGCAGTGGCATAGGCCTAGAGGGCAAAATATATCATCGGAGCCGTTAATGGAAATAAGTTAGACACGACATGTACAGGTGAGAGTACCTCAGTTTCTGTATCCCCTGGTAGATTGAGAGCTTTAAGGATGATTTAAGGAAGGTCAACAAGAACTTTGGCCTCAGTTTGTACATGAATGCTGGAAGTGAGAAGGTACCTTATCTCAGTTATCAAATGGCACCCATGCCACTGAAGGAAACTTTAAAGTGACGTGCAATTAATGTAGACTTATCTAAGCAACCGGCTAGCAGTGAAGATGTACCTAGAACAATTTACCCTTCTTTCCGGTTATCTTTGGTTTCTCCCTTGTTCATCGTCACTCAATGCTCTTCAGAACATGATCAATTTTATGACTCACTAAGAATCAATGAAGAGAGTGCTGCAGATCTTGAAAGGGCGACACAATCACAACGAAACAGTAGCCGCTAGTGGACTGAAAGGAAACCAAGATTGACAGCGTCGACATTTGGAGAAATTTTAAGTCGAAAATCGATTACCAGCCCTTTTCTGAAAGGCCTTGTTAGCGATCAAAATGCGCCTGTCGACTCAAGAAATGTAACAGCCCTCCTAAAACATGGCATTGAAAATGAAATCAGGGCCCTGAAACAGTATGAGAACTACCTTGTAAACAGTGGATATCCCGTAACGACCTTTCCATCAGGCTTTGTTGTAAACCCTGCCTTCCCCTTCCTCGGTTGCTCACCTGATGGGAAGGTTATTGACGTAACAGAGAATCGCCCATACGGGATCGTTGAAATTAAATATGTCCGTACAAACACAAGAATGTCACTACTGAGACAGCATGTGCCGGTGACAGTCGATTTCATCGTGAAGAAAAGGATGACTTTCCATCGCTTAAGACGACGTACAAATAGTATTATCAGGTTTAGGGGCAAATGGGAATTACAGGGCCAAGTGGTGTGACTTTGTCACTTACACACTCAAGGGGATGGTCATTGAACGTATTTATTTTGATCCTGAATTTTTTGCTTCTATGCTGTTGAAATTGGAACAATTTTTCTTTAAGCACTATGCTGCAACTTTCAAGGCACAAGCAGTGCCAGCTAGAGCATGTGCTGTAACAACAGCATGCAGCGTTTTAACTGCTACTACAAGAGCAACAGGCAGTATCAGCACGAGCTAAATAATAGGTGGACTTAATTTTTGACAAGAAGCATGATCTGAACTATTTAAATCAGTGCAGCGAAATATTCCCAAACAATATTTTGTATAATAAACTTAAACCGTTTAATAGCAAGTATTCGTATGTACGTTCTCTCCTAGACAATAACTCAACTTGAGTTTTCATTGGTGTACCTGTACATCTCTTTACAATACAGGCTATGAAATAATTGGATTTTGCATGTTTGTCAGCACAGCACAAACAGTCCACATTTGATTTAGACTACCAGCTAACGACAGTGGAATAACTTGATTAAAAATTTGGAAATTCTTTACTTTGTTTATCGCTCTTTCCACGCGAATACGCTCGGACGCAGTTTCCTGAGTCGCAATAACTTCTGAAGGGGTCTGTTGACTTCTTAAACCAAGAAATGGGAAGATATTCAAGCCAACACCAATGGGCTCCATAAGATCTGAAATAGTGAAGCCTTTGTCAGCCATTACTACATCACCACGGGAAAAAGGTAAGTTGAGTAGCCCCGACCTGACAGTTAACTCTCTATCTGAAATGCTACCAGCATAAAGTTGCGAAATGAATGTTATATGGCCACTCGGTACAATGCCAATCAAACCTTTAAATGTCGCATGACTCTTGTACGTAGAGAAAGTATAACTATGCAGAACCAAAGAGGAAGGGGTTTGACATTTGATTTCTGTCCCATCAATAATAACCCTTGTTTTGGGGTACTTATCCTTGAAAGACTGGGGCATTGCTTTATCTATTGTCCCTCTGTCTGGCCAAATGTCGAGGTGACCGAATTTTAAGTACAGAAAATTGATCCAGGATATACAAATTCTATTAATTGTAGATACATGTACCCTGAACCTATGGGCTATGGTGATTTTCGCTTAGGGGATGCTGCCGACCATGAAAAGATAGACGGAATAGCATCGTCCTTTAAATATCGACGACCAGTCAAGGTTACACGAAAATCAGTTATCTTGAAATTCAAGGAGCAGATTTTAGTTCGTTCAGTTATCTGAAATGCTGGAGATACGTCTCGTCGAATTTTCACAAGCCACTCCTGAAATATATCTCGTATAGAGAAATGTCAGAAATCTGAAACGATAGGTTTAATGAACGATAATTTTGAAAGTAGTACCTTCAGTCTTACAGCATCCGATGGAAGGCAATGATACGTGATCTTTTTCCAATCCGGCCCTACACGATAACCACTCTTACAGCACAAAGGCACGCAACAACTATCCGGCATGGCACTATTTATAAATGTACAGCAAAAATGGCATGCAATCCAATTCTAAAAATTGAAGATCAGCTTTTAGAATGATAATCGATTTAAGCTTACATGTGAACCTTAAATACAAAGAATGAAAAATATCAGGCAGTCAAAGTATCGCGATCGCTACAAATGACTCTGTCTGTGATCGCTGTGCGTCAGTTGATCGTTCAATTTGTACAGATAATCACATGATTTCGAGTGCAATTTGGAATAAATAAGCACGAGTAAATTTTTTCAAAGACTAACAAAAAAATTTACGAGTGCTTATTTATTCCAAATTGAACGAGAAAAATCATGTGATTACTTATTAATAATATTCACGAAAAAATTGCGAGATAGCTTTAAAATCACTTTGATAGGGAGTCAACGCGCGTAAACTACGTGCAAAAATAAATTATTCAAATGCTGCAAATATCATCACACGTGCAGTCAAAACAACATTTTTCTCGATGCTTTTAAAGTTTGCAAGCTGCAGAAACGGGCTGAACAGTTCATGGAATTGTTCAATGTGTTTGAATTAAAGATTCTGGGTTATTACCTCGAGTTTTCTACTCCTCCAGAGAATTTCTTCTTCCTCCTCTGATACTTGCCGAGCTTTGTTTGGGCGCTTACCACGGCCAGCCAAGCGAAGCTGTTTCGCTTTGTCCTCCAACACCCCTACGAACTAAATTCTCGGTCACGTACAATGGACAGGTGCAGCCTTTGTTCCTTAAGTGTCTATCAATCGATACCATCATTACTTTAACGCTTTCTGGTTCATAATCTTCACCTTTTTTATTGTTTGTCTTCGGCGTAGAAATGCTCGATCAAATTGTTAAGCTCAGCCGGCTCATAATTTTCTATTTCATCAGTAATTTCCCTATCTTCGCACCAATTCTTCGAAACAGAGCGCCAAAAACCCAGTGCTTTTCGCAGTGTTTTCGTTTTTAGAGCAGTTTTTCAGCTCCTGTACAGTTGTTTCGGTCGCAAAAGCAAATGTGCTTCACGGTTTTTGCTCGAAACTGGTCCGCAGCGGATCCAAATTTTGCGCCATTTATACGGCGCATTTGATTGGCTCTCAGTGAGTTCCTTTGTTTATTAGCCAATCAGAATGTCATGTTTGTTACTCTTTTCTGCACTAAATTACCTTTTTTCTGCACTCAATTACCTTTTTTCTGCACCGTGTTACCTAAAAACTGCATTTCTCTTAGCCAATCACAATCGAGAAATTTTTTCATGTATATTATTAAGTATAGAAAAACAGTATCCAAAGCGTTTATACCAGATTGAAACCTTTTTCAGGGAAGAAAATTGACTTATTTTTGTGGAATTTAAAGGAAAAGACGCCTGAGAAGCTGCAGCCTTTCCAGCAACGACACAGGTAAACACAGCAACCAGCCCCTAGCAACGGTTGCTACCGAAAAGCCTCGCTTTGGTGAAATCGTCGCCATATTTGCAATCGGTCTATTATTTAGCAGTTAATGAATGAGGCTGAGTATCTTATGAAGAATTATGGAGATCGAGGAGGGTGTTATCCGTCGAGGCCGTAGGCCGAGGCGGATAACACCCTCCGAGATCTCCATAATTCTTCATATGATACGAAAGCCGAATTCAATAATTGTTTTATTATTCATTCAAAATAATTCCCAGTTTAAAAACATAGCTAAAACATGCTTACCTCCATCGATCCATGGAGGTTCAGTTCATCTTCGATAGTGTACGTTTAGGTTTGTCGAGCTCCGCAAATATTCTCCAAATAGCAGATGTCGCCCTTCGAGTTGTCTTCTTGGAGTTCTTGCTATGTTTTTAGCTATTTTTCGCCTAGTTCTTACTCTCGAACGAGTGAAATGTCCGCCATTTTTTCAAGTTCACAACCAAAACAACTCAACCTCGTCCCCAGGTCTCCTCGGCTAACGGTGCCTTAACCTGTGAAAACGCTGCATTTTTGACGTCATTTCCTCGTTAAAGCCAAATTTCTTCCAAATTTGGTCATCAGTAACTGGTTATGGTGAATTAAACGTGTGCTTTTAGCCAATCAGAATCGGGGAAATATTTTGAATGAAAAATAAATGCTGTTATTTATCCCACTTAAATATATCAAATCTGAGAGTAGTTATATAAGGCGATGATGTAGGCGGTAAAATCATTCAAGACTCTAACATTGCGAGAGCGATGGGCTGTTGTCCACCATCGACCACGTTTGGACATAGTTAGCCAGTTAATTATGCGAGTTCGTAAGCCCACCGTTGCATACAAATTAGTTCAGCTCTACAGGAAAAACCCCAAAAGAGAACCTTCAAGTGACTTATTATCATAAAAACAATAAAAACATAAAATAACTTAACAAGGATCCATTGAAACACTCTACTTACAGTTGCTAGCAATAAAATCAGGCACGAGATACCGTTTTAAAAACTTTATTAAAAACCAGTAACAAAAAGAGTAAAAAACACAGCGATTTGAAAGGACAAGGAATGAAAATTAATCCTTTGACTGACTATTACAAATCTGTTTTCTCCGTTCTATTACGAGGGATAATAAATAATCCTTCCGTGTCTACACAATTTTCTTATAGCCTCTAAGCCAAGACTTCGACTTTCATTGTTTCTTACGGTTTGTCTTGTTCTTTGTAGTTGTTCTTTTAGCTTTTGCTTTAAAACAGGCTTCATCTCTTTGTGATCTTGACAGTTCGTACACCGTTTCTTGTGTCTGTACTGGATTGCGAGCACTAGTTGAGTGATTTTCTCCGGAATTATCCGCTTCACTTTCGTAAACGACGACTTTAATTAACTTTAGGTTGCAGTTTCGCTTCTTGTTTCGCTGTATGTTACCCTTGTCCCAGAGGTTTTTCTTGATTTTTCTTCGCGAAAGAGATCAAGAGCAAGCCGCGAAGTGGCGACAACGAGTCGCGAAAGCGACGAGGAGAGAGAGAAAAACCTCTGGTTACCTTGGCCTCGAATCTCACTTTCATGCAGACGACAGGGTCAGGATCTGACCCTCGGGCGTTGATTGGTTGATATTTTTCTCAAACACGCAAACCAATTTGATTGGCTCGTTTAATTGTAACTACCGAGGGGACGCTGAGGATTTTCACACCTCATTATGCCTTTCTGTACCAGGGAAGAAAATTGTTTGTATGCTGCACTCGCAATAACATTTACACGGGACCAAGGCATGTAAAGGCACGCCATATTTCGAGATTTTGACATGGATGTTGTTCCTGAAAGAATATTCGAAGAAATTTTTACCTCGGTACTTGATGAGCGCTTTCCTGAGTCTCTTTGAGCAACAAAAGAAAGCTTTGTTCGCCGCGTTGAGTCGAAAGGATGTGTTCACCATTTTATCAACCGGACATGGAAAGTATATAAATCGTTACCTGATGTTTGCAAGTACCTTTACTACTCATACCCTCGCCATGTAATAATTTTGGTTGTCTGCTCTCTCAAGTCTCTTGTGGACTCGCATATCCGCGAACTGCGAAACTGTGGCGTCTCAGCAACCAGTTTGAGCAGTCCAGACGTTGACGACCAGAATCTCGTGTCTCGATGTATTTACCACTTTCTATTGCAATATTGTCATTCCATTAAATAAGCTAACTTGTTTAGGGCAGCAAAATATAAATGTCCGAATACGGAATGAAAGTTTCCTTGTAGGAAAAAAAAACATACAACTTTGTACAAGTATCACAGGACGAAATTTCAAGAATCCGTAAATGGAAACTTAACGTAAACAAGTAAAACCGTTGCGGAAACATGACGGTAATCACATGTTTCCGTTAGCGGATACATTACGTTTACCCCTGTTTCCGTCGCTGCGGTTTCGGCGGAATCGTACCACTTTTTTATACGTTTCCGTCAAATTTCCGTCTAAGGAAACACGTGTTTCCGGAAGCATAAATGCGTGGCATCCTTGCGGAAACACGCGAAAACGTTCCGGAAACAAGTCAATTTCATGTTTCCGTCAACGTAATCGGATGTAACTATTGCGGAAACACGAGTTTACGAGTCGGAAACTGGTGTTTTCAAGTTATTTCCATCGTGGAAAAAGCGCTTTTCACCATGCTGGGGTGGTTTTCCCGCCATCTATAGTAACAAAAACCCATTCTCTCGACATTTTTATTGCACAAAATAATACCAAAGCAATCTTTCCAAGTACTTTCTTTATTCTCCTTGATTCCTAAATTGACAATCAGGTCTTCTTATGGTATTTATTTATTACATTGCTTATTTTATTTTATTTTTGTTTTATTATTTTGCCACACACAATGAATTACAAGCAGAATAAAAACGATAATAAATAGGTTAACTAACATTAAATTTAAAATTTGTGCATTACTTGGGAGGAGTGACTGTGGCGGGGAAATCGCCGAGAAGCGAGCTTATGAGGAATAGAGATTTCCCCCCACGGGCAATTTAAATACTAGGCGGCGTTTTAAGAAATAAAGAAAAAAGTCGTTTATTTAAGTATATAAGTGTGTTTAGAGGAAAATATAGATATGAGGTGTTAAGGTATTTAGGCTGCATTCTGTCTGACCCTTAAAAATGGTTTGATCACACGCTTGAATATACTAAAAGACGGGGCATTTTTGATGTCGTTTGGTAATGAATTCCATATTCTAGAACCTTGAAACAGGATCGAAAATTTTTTAATATTTGTCCTACAGGTGTGAGGTCGGTAAAAGTCAGAGTATCTTGTTGAATATTGATGAATCTTGTTTCCAGTTTGAAAGATTTGAGTAAAAGAAATAGGTAAAGCATCATTATGATATAGTTACATGAAAGAACTTACTTGGAGAGAGTAGATACTAAAAACATCAAGAATTTTTAAATTTGCAAAAAGAGGTTTACTTGAAGCTTTGTAGTCTGCTTTAGAGATCGCCCGGACTGCTCTTTTCTGTAGTAGGTAAATTCGTTGTAGGTTGGTGACATAAGTAGAGGCCCAAATTAAATTGCAGTAAGTAAGAGAGGGATAAATAAGTGCATAGTATAGTGTTA